AGGAGAAGAAACCACGAAAAGCAAAGGCTGTAGAATTGTACAATAACTTCCTACCACCTGTTTTTCCCAAGTTGGAGGGATCTCGATTCATGATCATCTCTCACGAACTGACTTAATGTCTCCTGTTTAGGATAAGGCACTTTTCACACAGTGGAATCAGTGACAGGTTGTCTGCAGGCAGGAATACCACTTGCAAAGATAAGCTTCCAGCATCCATATGATCACCAGCAATAATGGTTTTCACCTCTCAGTACCTGGATAATAAGGGGGAAAGATTTGATACATCCACTATTCTGCCACCACCCTGCATCAAGTTGCAATGGAGAGCAGCCACTGGAGAAGCGAAAATGTCTTAAAGTAATAACAGGTGGTAGACCCGGTGGGAGATATTGCGGCAGATTCAGAGGCAGATAGACTACTTCCTCCGTTAACAAAAACTTCGTGATGGAATTTTGAGGGGCTGATTTGGGCAAAAACTGCCCTGAAATGAGTCACAATCACTTTATTGGCCTTCCCTGGCATGCCATGACAGAGGTACGATGCAAGGAAAGCGACCTTTCACAACAAGCCGAGCGGAATCGATGGTTGCGCTGTGGAAACATAGGTGACGACAGTCATGGCGAGCGAAACTGAAATGCCACTTCTCCGAGGGGATATTGCGCTGCTTGGCCTCTCTACCACTTTGGCACTGAGTACGTCGGAGAGTGATAGAGAGCGATAAAACGGAGCAGCGAGCCCACACAATGAGCGAGTGAACAAGGAGCTGCTCCGATCGCACGGCTCAATGAAAACAATTCTGAACTGAAGTAACACGTTGGTTCTCGTTCAACCTGGGCAAAGCCCAGATTCGAATGCTGATGACCATGCATTCTTTCAGAAGTCTGCAGTCAGATGCGAGTCTCGTGGCTAAAGAAAGTCGACTGGACTTGCTAGCCGCTGCCGTTCAGTGCTGGTATCCATTAGAGAAAATGGAATCAGTTCAGCTGTGCCTTTACTCCTCGTTTCGCGGAGTTCTGGAGAGCGAAGATGAAACCAGGGAGTTGTAAAATATTTTTCACGACTCCCTGGTGGAAACGAGTAATCGCCATCGCGGCGGATCACGCAGCTTGAAAGCAAACTTACTTGAACGGCGGCGACATCAAGCGGAGTGTGATCAAAGAAGCCGAGGCAAGGCTGAAACGAGCTGAACAACGACTCGAGAGAGATGACGACTCGCGTACAGCAGATGACGACTCGTATGCAGCAGATGACGACAGCGACGCAGGTCAAAAATGAATCGAGCGAAAGCGACGCAAACTGAACTCTCTGCTCATTCCGCCAACAGTTTCTCTTGTAAAAGCGCTGTACATAGGCTGAATCACCGTCGTCCAGTAATTTGCACTCGATACAAACTGTTCTTGACCTGTTCTAAGCGTTTTCATATCCATCAAAATCCATCACGAAGTTTTTGTTAACGGAGGAAGTATGTGGATTCCTTCCTTCAAGTTTAACAATTTACAGCCATTCTTCCTTTTCTGTCTCAAACCAAGATCATTACATCCCTTTCATAAGCATCATTATCAGCATAATAAAGCAATTATTGGAGCATTATTGCTAGCATTATACAAAAGTTTTCGTAGCTTTATCCGCTGGACCCAAGACGTACACATGTTCAAATTACTATGACGCAATGAGAACTGGTAAAGGGCGCCAGGTTTTCACTTTGGGTTGGGTTTCACCGAGCGCAATTGTATGTGGTACATACATAGTAACTCCTCCAACAACATGGTCTTTTATTTCCGCTCCTATAACCATGTCTTGTCGTTGATGTTGCTGATGTCGTTATCGTTTTTGGAATCTTTCATTTTTTATCTTCACAATTACCTGTGGCCACAGAGAGCAGAAGGAACACAGATACGGAATCAAAAACAATATGTAAAAAACACTGCATTCTAAAACGCAACTATACCAATTAAGAGTTTATGGAGTGCAGCGGTGTGGTATAATGAGGCTATAGTTACGATAAGCAATGCGAGAACTTACATACTGAAGAGATAAAGATACGCAGGCTTTGAAATCATATCTGTGGTTGATTTACGATATAGGGAAGCTGGGGAGTCTCTTAACCTTCTTGTGCGTTTTGTGGGTACCTCAAAGATTCGGAAGAACCTGAGGGTGCGAATGAGTTGGATTCGGAGTAGATGGATTGCAGGAATGTGTGATCGTGCACATCTATGGTGCAGGCTGTGTTCAAAAATGAATTGGCAGAGATTATGGCAGCTGCTAAATGAGGGCCATTTGAGCCGGTGCAGCAGCACGGAGTGATTACTATGCTCAAAGAGGGGGTGCATATAGAGACGCGTGGCACACCCCAGGGCGCGCTCAAGCCGGTCCTTGAGTTCAAAGGACGATCAGAGAGGATTGCACTTTTGAAATATAAAAACTTTTAAAAAGTGATAGAAAAGGGATTATTCGAACTAGTTTTCGTACAACACTCATCAAGAATCAACGTTGCTCTAAAGAACAAGGCGAATGAAAGATAGAACAAGTCAGTCTTGGTGCAACTGTGAGGTTTGTATCGTTCAGTGCGACGGCTGGTGGTCAGGGAGCAGAGCGGTTGGTGTGATGGAAATGATGGATTTTCAGTACATGCCAGGTCTTCAGACACTGTGTTGCTGTTGCTACAGCTGAGTGGAGATGCTCTTCCGTGTCTAGAAATAGTTCATGAACAGCAACGGCAGCAACAATGCTAAGCAATTGACATGATGCAAAACAAACTAAAAAGGAAAGGAGAAATACATGTAAGAGAAAACTTTAAAAAACGGATGGAAAAAGGATTAAGAACTCCGATGGTGAGCCAAGGAAATCAAATTTTGTAACAGGGAAATTGTGGGCCCGAGTTATGCGAAACTGACAATGAGTACTGAGACGATCCGACGCTAGTCTTGATCTGTCTCATTTAGATTTTGTCCACTATCGTTGTTAAAAGAGGAAAATTGTGGGTGCACATCCAGTACATTTGTATATTTGCGTGCTTCTCTCTCTCTCTCTCTATCTCTTTCTCTCTCTCTTTCTCTTTTTCTCTCTCCGACTCTCTCTCTCTCTCTCTCTCTCCCTCTCTCTCTCTCGCTCTCTCTCTCTCTCTCTCTCCCCTCTCTCTCTCTCTCTCTCTCTCTCTCTCTCTCTCTCTCTCTCTCTCTCTCTCTCTCTCTCTCTCTCTCTCTCTCTCTCTCTCTCTCTCTCTCTCTCTCTCTCTCTCGCTCTCTCTCTCTCTCTCTCTCTAAAAAACAAAACAGTTGGGGAGTAGAGCTGAGTGACAAGCCTCAGCAAGGGACATCAGACGAAATACACATGCTGATTGGTGCAGACTAAATCAACGCGATACTGCACAGCAAGGAAGACGTTAATGGTGATACTGTGTGGAACAGAGAAAGTCCTCGGTCTGAAATGGAAATCCAGTGATGAGTCCGATAGACCACCTGTTTGGACACGGCGATCCCTCCTAAGTGTGTTGCGTCAGTGTTTGATCCGCTAGGTCTAGCAGCACCTACAGTTGTGCCGGTAAAGATGCTGCTATAGCAAGCCTGGAAATTCGGTGGCGACTGGGATAATAAGTTGCCTGATGGCATCGCAGCCGCATGTGCGCAATGGCGGGGAGACTTGGCTGAAGTGGTAGGCATTGACATACCACGTTGGTTTTGCTGCAATCTTGACACGCCTATTGTGCTTTATGCCTTCGCGGACGCCAGTGAGAAAGCGTTTCGATGCTCTTTGTATGCAGTCATCAATGGACAGTCACACTTGGTATATTTGCCAAGGCCAAAGTGGCAACGGTGTCTCCACCCACGTTAGCCCGCCTTGAGTTACATGCAGTATGTCTAGCGGCTTGCTATGCTGAGTTTGTGGTGAAGCAGCTGCGTGTGACCTTCACGCAAGTCTATGGCTGGACTGACAGTCTCACTACCGTTCATTGAATCAGTAATCCATCGTACAAATGGAAAACATTAAGGTGAAGCAGCTGCGTGTGACCTTCACGCAAGTCTATGGCTGGACTGACAGTCTCACTACCGTTCATTGAATCAGTAATCCATCGTACAAATGGAAAACATTTGTGGTGAACCACGTCTGTCAAGACCAAGAGATATCGAAGAAGTTCGGCATTGTGTGGAACCATTGCCCGGGCCTTCACAACCCGGCAGATTTTCCGTCACGTGGGAGTAATGCACAGCAGATCCGTAGTCCGTTCCTGTTGGGCAGGCCAACCTGGATCACGGAGCCGAATGACTGGCCCACCGCATCCTCAACCGCTGGTACTGATGAGTCCAGTGTAGAAGTGCGAGTGTCAGCCACCACCTGTAGTCGAGAATCTCTGATAATGAATGGTGGCTCCGATTCAGTAAGTGGTCGAGGGCACAGGGCATGGCGACTCGGATGTTGCAGTGGAAGCACACTGAGCCTCGTGCTGAACTATTTTGCAGCTGACAACGTATTGTACTGCATCGTTCAAGCCAAATGTTTCGCTGAGGATCTTGAGCTGATCAAGCAAGGTCAACCATTGAAGCCTGGGTCGAAGGTGGATCATCTTGCACCGTTTTTGGATGAGCATGGGCTGCTCAGAGCCGGAGGGATGACTCCACTACAGCGAGTTGGCGTATGGAGCCAAGCACCCAGTTCTAATAAGCAAACATCATCTGACCGAGTAGCTGTTGGAGAAAACGCATGTCGAAAGCATGTACCAAGGTGTAGAAGGGGTCTTCTTGTACATCCGTCAGAAATTCTGGATTATCGGCGGTCGACGAGCGCTACGCAACATTACTCAGTGATGTGTTATATGCCGCCGCTACAAGGCTAAGTCTGCCCGCCGCTGCCAACAGACCGAATTGTTCAAGAGAGGCCGTTCGCAACTACCGGCATCGACTATGCTGGTCCGTTGTACGTTCGACGTGGTGAGTCAACTCCGAAGGTATTGATAGCATTGTTTGCGTGTGCCACCACCAGAGCAGTTCAACACTGTATTACCCATGGGTACATGGACGCTGAAAAGTTATAATTCCAGACAAGAAAAGTACTTCCTGCTTTCTATGCCGGGGTTTCCAGCATAATCCGACTTCAAGTGGGTGAAGATTTGTTCCATTTATGTACAAGAAAAGATTCGAATGAGTATGATTCGGATATACCTGGGATTGGTGAATGAGTGTTTTAAATAGGTATTTTGAGGTCTAGACAATCTCCTGATGATCAAAATATATGCAGCAACTTCTTGAGAATCCAATATGCTATGATGTTCTGATGTGCATTTGTGTGCTTTCGATAATACGTGTATACACCCAATCACTGCTGCAGCATGCAATTGCTTGAATCACGGTCAGTGTACTGAAGATGGCACCTGCAACTGCCGGAAAGGATTCCACGGAGACAAGTGTCAGCATAGTAAGTGAAGTGAATACGCATGCTTCTTAGGGCGCGTTTGGTTGGTATGAAGTAGAAGAGGATTCACCAGAACAGCGTGTTTGGTTGGGACTGCACCTGTTCTGGGTCGACCAGAACATGTTCTGCTTGCTCCGGCCTCGAGGCGGAGCAGACCCTAGCAGTTTCACTCTTTCACAGTAAAACCTGGCAGGAACATCGATTTTGGTCCCAAATGATCACGTGCATACGTTTTTTGGGGTATAACTCGTTGTACCGTACAAATTGACCATGGTGACCCATAAACATTTTGAAGAATGCACCAAGTTTGGCACATTTTTCACAAAAATGTGCTCTGTTTCTTGAGTACCGTTTGCTTGGCATGAGGCTACTCCATGTGCTTCAGCTGTTCGATCCTGTTCTAGTTTGTACTGACCAAACACACCCTTTACTGTTAGTGTAACATGAGTATGTCCAATACTCAATCCCTCTCTTGAAAATTTGAAATGAGCGAGTCGTTGTTTCGCAAAAACTACTGTCAGTAGTATGACCCCCAACATGTAATATTATTTGTCCCTACTTAGCAGAATAACACAGTAGTTGCGAGTATTTCCCGAACTAGGCTGCAAGCAAGACTACAATCATGCGTACCAGGTGTACTACGTTTGGTTTTGCAAGAGTGTAGGCGTGCATTGTTTTATGTCTGGTCAATAGAATACTCGTATTCGTTCGAATAACGGCTACTTCCTCCGTTAACAAAAACTTCGTGATGGATTTTGATGGATATGAAAACGCTTAGAACAGGTCAAGAACAGTTTGTATCGACTGCAAATCACTGGACGAAGGTGATTCAGCCTATGTACAGCGTCTTTACAAGAGAAACTGTTAGCGGAATGAGCAGAGAGTTCAGTTTGCGTCGCTTTCGCTCGATTCATGTTTGACCTGCGTCGCTTTCGCTCGATTCATTTTTGACCTGCGTCGCTGTCGTCATCTGCTGCACGCGAGTTGTCATCTGCTGTACGCGAGTCGTCATCTCTCTAGACTAGAGTCGTTGTTCAGCTCCTTTCAGCCTTGCCTCAGCTTCTTTGATCACACTCCGCTGACCTTGATGTCGCCGTCGTTCAGGTAAGTTGGCTTTCAAGCTACATGATCCGCCGCGATGGCGATTACTCGTTTCCACCCGGGAGTCGTGAAAAATATTTTACGACCCCCTGGTTTCATCTTCGCTCTCCAGAACTCCGCGAAACGAGGAGTAAAGGCACAGTCAGACTGATTCCATTTTCTCTAATGGATACCAGCACTGAACGGCAGCGGCTAGCAAGTCCAGTCGACTTTCTTTAGCCACGAGACTCGCATTGGACTGCAGACTTCTGAAAGAATGCATGGTCATCAGCATTCGAATCTGGACTTTGCGCAGGTTGAACAAGAACTTGAGTTCAGAATTGTTTTCATTGAGCCGTGCGATCGGAGCAGCTCCTTGTTCACTCGCTCATTGTGTGGGCTCGCTGCTCCGTTTTATCGCTCTCTATCACTCTCCAACTTACTCAGCGCTAAAGTGGTAGAGAGGCCAAGCAGCGCAATATCCCCTCGGAGAAGTGGTATTTCAGTTTCGCTCGCCATGACTGTCATCACCTATGTTTCCACAGCGCAACCATCGATTCCGCTCGGCTTGTTGTGAAAGGTCGCTTTCATTGCATTGTACCTCTGTCATGGCATGCCAGGGAAGGCCAAGAAAGTGATTGCGACTTATTTCACGGCAGTTTGTGCCCAAATCAGCCCCTCAAAATTCCATCACGAAGTTTTTGTTAACGGAGGAAGTAGTTTTCTCAAATAGTACTCGAGTCGATGATTATGGCACACAGTTCACCCATACCGCTTTTTTGCTACAGATGCTGCTGTGAAATGTTAAAATTTTGAATGGTCGCACTAAAATACTGCCTTTATGATCCATAATTTTCTCAAATCTAGACTGCTCATTATACTCCGATTATGCCTTGAATGTCCAAACCTTGGGTCAAGGTGGGGGGGGGGGTGTAAATTATGCTCGGGTGCGCATTATACTCCGACAAATGGGGTATGTACTTGAAATGGACCACGGTATCCCTAGGCAGGAAGTATATAATTATCTTGTTAAGTGTGTTGCAACTGTGCTCTACTGTATCTGAATATGTTTTGCATATGTACTGTATTCTGTTCAGCTTTCAAAACGAACTGCCTGGGTACAGACAAGGCAGTGTACACCTGGACGGCTCTCGCCAGCTTGCCGTGTTATCCACACCTCGACGAGGGCAGCTGCCAGAACAAGACGAACTATACGAACGCCCGCCAGATGTGCAGAAGAAGAGGCTACGACTTGGTTGACTTTCATGCCTTCGCCATCCTAAAGCTTGGCGTGCGCTACTGCATGGAAGCATTGCTCAACGAGATGATAGCGAGCAGTTACAGCAGCCCTATCACAATATGGACATCGTTCAAGAGGAAAGACCAGTATACCATTTACAAGCAGGGCAAGAACGACTTAAGAGAAGAATTACATGATAGACATGGAACAAGCCATCATGATGTCATCTGCGAAGGTAGGCCATTGCATTGTGATCAAAGAAACGTGTGAGAGAGATGCTGAGTAGCCAGCAATGAATGGATAGGGTCGAAAATGATTTTGAAGAGATTAGAGGACTGAAACAGAGAGGCGGCAGCAATAGTGAGTACAATCTGGGTTTCCCACTGTAGGCCTGCAGATATTGCCCGATATCTGTACCTGGCTATGTTAAGGGGGTAAAAATATACCGCTGACCTTTATATTTGATAGGGTTTTATTGAGCACGGCATAAAATAATAGATTTTGGGTCACTCTTTATTCAGATTTATTGCATTATTTTTATTGTACATCTTCTCTACCCAAGACTGTATGTGACCTTGTCTTGCAGCCAAGTGGGTCCACATCAACGACTCAGTATACGCCGCTGCAACACCAGCACTCACAACCAATATCACTGAGCAGTTTGCAGAGGAGGCATGTCGGCAGTACGGACTTCACCTCATAACCGAGGACTGGCTGCAAACACATCACAGTGTATTATTTCGAGAGCCCTGGCTAAAGAAGTTGGCTATTCTTCATAAGCCTCGGAACGCACCTTTCCACGTGAAACCAATCCGGGTGAACGGCCGCTCCCTTTACAGAACCGTAACATTTAGACAGCCAAAAAGTCTGATGTATCAAAACACCACAAGCACTATGCGTGCCCGAATCCTCTGTGTCAGTAAGTGAGAGGATAATAATATCCAGTGCCAACATGTCCTGTTCCAACCTGTCCTATCCCAATTATGTCCTGTTCACCAACATGTCCCGTCTCAACATGTCCTGTTCACCAACATGTCCTGTTCACCAACATGTTCTGTCTCAACATGTCCTGTGCATCAAACTGTCCTGTCCCAACATGTCCTTGCAGCACAGTTAGTGCTGTTACTCTCTCCCCCTGGCCCCCCCCCCCGCATATCATTGCATTTATGGCGCATGCCCCGGATTGATTGTACTTGTACCTAACAAAGAAACCTACTTTGACTGTGATCTTTTGTTGGAGCATGTAATTATTCAAGTACAGAAAGAATACTGTTCCATAAGGTGACATAGCAATTTGGCGACGAAGATGTCTCTGACGAAGTTTGACTTTTTTGGATTAGGCTGTGTTTACATGAGGCGTTTCAACCCGCGTTGAGTTCGACCCGGTTCAGATTTCAACCCGCCATGTGCACACAATGAATGGCGCGTTTACATGACGCATTGCGCTTGACCAGGGTTGAAATTTCGCCCCGGGTTGATTGCAACCTGGGTCAACGATATCGTACTACATACTTCTGTGCGTATCTCGTGCCAGGTTTGAACAGCACTGCACATGCAAATTCCGTGGGGAAAGGACTCACGTGACCATACAGGACACTAGAAGTGGAATTTTGGCGGCATATCAGTATTTGACCCGGGTCAACTGTCTTCATGTAGACGCTCACCTATTTTGTCTATCGTACAGACTTTCAATCCGGACTGAACTCGACACGGGTTGAAATTTCTCATGTAAACACAGCCTTAGCCATCATTTTGGGTTTTCCACATTCTATTGTCAGATTCTGTAAGAGTGCAGTGCAATTGACTTTTTGCCTTCTTTTTTTGCACAGAGTTCTGTGAGAACGGTGTTCTTGCGCCAAACCTGATGACTTGTATGTGTAACCGTACCACATCATACGGAGAATATTGTGAAAAGGGTAAGACAGCCAGTCGTTAAGTTCTTTGTGTGTGTGTTTGTGTGTGTGTGTGTGTGTGTGTGTGTGTGTGTGTGTGTGTGTGTGTGTGTGTGTGTGTGTGTGTGTGTGTGTGTGTGTGTGTGATGCTGTGAAGTCGGCTGCCGTCGATGTGGCTGGGGAGGTGGTTGGCCGAGACAAGCGGCGTGTACTGGACTCGTTTTGTGATAGTGCCCCGGCACTGGAGCCCCTACTAGCATCACGTAATCGGCTATACGACCTGTGGCTCAGAACTGGCCATCATAATGACCACAGGGCTTTCAAGGAGGCTCGTGGCCAGGCTCGGGCTGGTATAAGGCAGGCAAAGACCACCTGGTTAATGAAAAAGCGGCGGTGTTGCAACGGGGACGTTTCAGCGGCAATCATGTGTGGTCTGCCATCCGAGATATGCAGCGCTGTTTTGGTGGGCTGAAGCCAATATCTGTACAGGCTATCCGCAACACTCGGGGAGACGTCTGTGGATCTGTGCAAGAGCAGAGGGGCACATGGCACAGGCATTTCTCGGGTGCTTTGAATGTCTGCATTACTTACGATGCAGAGGTATTCCAGCAAATTCCCCAGCGGGAGATCATGCCCTCGCGAACGCAGCCACTGTCGGGAGAGGAGTTGACCCATTCTCTGAGACATCTGAAGAACGGCAAGGCTGGTGGCATGTCCCAGATCGTGCCCGAACTGTTGAAGGTCGGTGTGCCCGTCCTCCACCCGCTCCTTCTTGACCTGCTTCAATCTGTCTGGTCGGAGGGTTACGTACCGCATGACTGGCGTGATGCAGTGCTCATCCCCATACGAGGGCGACCTCGATGCGACAACTGGCGAGGAATTGCATTGCTGGAGGTTGTGGGAAAGCTAGCTGCTAGGGTTGTGCAGAATCGGGTGCAAGTGCTCTCTGAGGATGAGCTACCGGAGTTGCAGTGTGGGTTCCTGCGAAACCGTGGTTGTGCTGATGCCATCTTCTCTGTCCGCCAACTGATAGAGAAATCATATGAGCATTATCGAAGCTGTTTTGTGTCTTTGTGGACCTCCGCGAAGCATACGACTCTGTGCCTCGTGAGGCTCTGTGGCAGGCATTGCTTCGGCTCGGTGGGCCCCCTTAGGCTGTGGCTCTCGTGAAGTCGTGCCATATGGACATACGGCATCTGTTTGTGTTGCTGGTGGTTGTACCGATCCGATCTCTGTAAAAAATGGTTTGCGGCAGGGGTGTGTCATGGCTCCTGTGCTGTTGAACCTGTATTTCGGATTGGTGATGGAGCGCGGCAAAGGTCTGTTCTCAGGGAGCGCGGCATTGAGTCTGGTATGGATTTCAGCTTCTTTATTGATGGGCAATTGTTTCCCCGTGCAGCTGGGCGACGTTGACAGTCTCACACTGGTCATGCTGATGATTTTGAGTTTACCGATGACGGCGTCCTACTCGCAACAACTCGTGCTGCAGCCGAGCTCTCCCTATCCGCCTTCCGTGATGTGGCATCCAACTTTGGCCTCACGGTCAGCATGACGAAGACTAAGCTACTGGTCGCAGGTGATGGAGTCGCCGCCACTAATTGTTCCGGTCTGGCAGTTGGCAATGAAAGGGTTGAAGCTGTTACCTCCTTCCCCTATCTTGGATCTGTCATAACTAAGGATTCGCGAGCTCATGCCGATGTCCAGAGCCGCTTTGCGAAGGGTGCAAGGGCCTTTGGCTGTCTTCGGCGGATTTTGCATGATCAGAGCCTGAACCTGCCTACTCGACGGCATTTGTACGTGGGGTGTGTTCTCACCACAGTTTGTATGGCTCAGAGTGTTGGACCCCATTGAAGTCGGATTTGAACAAGCTGGACAGGTTCCATCACGCCAACCTACGGTCAATCCTTGGCATTTCGCGCGGCCGCCAGTGGGAGCAACACATCACATCGGAGCAGCTACGCGCACAGTGTGGTGACCCTACTCCACTGTCGTGCATGGTACAGCAGAGACGCTTGGAGTGGCTTGGGCACCTAGCTCGGCTTGATAACAATCGGTTACCCAAGCAGTTGCTCTTCACTCATCTGCCACGAACCCGCCCGTTTTGCGGCCCCCGACATCGCTGGAAGGGCGCTGTCTGGCCTGATCTGACTGTGGCCGGTGTGCACAATTGGTTCGAATCGGCCAACGATCGCGGAGAGTGGCGTGATATTGTGTCGGCAGCAGCGGGGGTGAAGGAGCCTGCCCCGAAGGCAATTGTGTGCCACGTTTGCGACCGCCTGTTTCGTCGTCGCGCTGACATGGCCCGGCACAAGTGCACAGCAGTCCAAAAGCTCCCCGTACCACAACAGCCTGGGTGAGTGCAGTGTCCTGCCTGCAGTGGATGGCTCCGGAGCAGCGGTGGGCTTGCAGTGCGTAAGTGTCAAGAGAGTGACAACTGTGATGACCGACCGCCAAGTGGTGCTCCTTCTGTTGCCGAGGTCCCGGTATGTACAGCCTGACAGCGTACTTTTAAGTCTACTGCTGGCCTCAAGCGCCATCGCTGTGGACCCCGCCCGAATCGCCCTACAGTGACTGATCGCCAGCACTTTGAACATCATTGCCGAGTCTGTAATCGACGCCAGTGTCGGAGGCGACAGGACCTGGAGCGCCATTTGAAGCACTGCCTACCTCTTCCCTAACCTCTCTGACAGTACCTCCCTTCGGGAGCGCCGTGGCCATTTCTGGCAGCTGTCAATAGTAGTGTGTGTGTGTGTGTGTGTGTGTGTGTGTGTGTGCGTTTCCCGTAAGTGCATGTGGGAAATTCTCCGGAAGGCGGGCGTACCTGACAAGCTGGTTACCATTATCAGCTCATTTCATACCTCTATGTCTGCAAACCTGTCGATCCCGGGCATCGAGGCCGAGCCTATTGACGTGCAAAATGGCCTTCGACAAGGTTGTTGTATGGCCCCAGTATTGTTCAATATATTCATGTGGGCAGTATTCCAGCTGTGGCAGCGTGAGGTTGCGGACATGCCTGAGATTGGACTTCCTGTCTCCTCTAACTCTGGACCGTCTCTCCTTTTCAAACGCCAGAAGACTGACACAATCAACATCCATCGTGACTGTCACTTCGCAGACGATTCGGCACTTATTGCTACAACTCGCCATGGTGCCACACTTGCGCTCAGCCGGTTCATGGACGTCGCAACTCGCTGCGGCCGACTATGTAATGCGTGCGGGAGATGGTTCTTGAGTGCTGGCGGGCTAGCTTCGCATAAGTGTCTCTCCAACTCGGTTGCTGAAGTGGCGTCGGTCTCGGCTGTGGCATCGGCAGACTCGGTCCGGAAACAGCGGGTTGCCCTGCCCTGCTGCAGAGCGCATTGTCTCGGCTGCGGTCGCTGCTGCAAGTCATCCCGTGGTTTCGACCTGCATAGCTGTGCTAATTTCCTGTCCAGCAAGTAGAGCGGCGTTTCTGGATCCAACGCTGAACTCAGTGCTGTCGACCCCTGCCCAGGGGACACGTGACCATTTGATGGCAGTGTTACCATGGACCAAGGTGTGCGTTTGTGTGTGTGTTTGCGGTTGTGTGTGTGCGTTTTTGTATGTGTGTTTATGTGTGTGTGTGTGTTTGTGTGTGTGTGTTTGCGTTTGTGTGTGTGCGTTTGTGTGTGTGTGTGTGTGTGTGTGTGTGTGTGTGTGTGTGTGTGTGTGTGTGTGTGTGTGTGCGTGTGTGTGCGTGTGTGTGTGTGTGTGTGCGCTTGTGTGTGTGCGTTTGTGTGTGTGTGTGTGTGTGTGTGTGTGTGTGTGTGTGTGTGTGTGTGTGTGTGTGTGTGTATGCGTGTGTGTGTGTGTGTGAGCACGCGCGTGTTTAAAAATCTGGGAGCACTCACTTTAGAGAAGGGAAAGTACACTAACCAGACAGCAGGGAAACAGCAGAGATCTGATAGATATAACCAGTCCTAATAGCTAGATGGAGTGTGTTTTGGCTGGTGTGTGTGTCTGCTGCCATTTGACACACCACATAATGTATTTCATTGAGAATCCTTACAATAAAATCAGAACTTGAAAAGCTACCGTATCAGAAGCCCCCTCTTTAATTATACCCCCCCCCCCCCTCCCTCCCTCCCTGCAATGACCGTTTGAAATAAAGCGAAGCCTCTCCAACAGAAATGAGAACCACTTTTCACGAAGCATGGTCAGAGGCCAGGCATTGCCATGTTCGATATGATCAAATGTATCATCACTTGCATGTACTGTAAATGTTCTGTTGTGGACATTGAAATCCTATGAGATGACTGTGGCCGGCGCCCTTGCTGCTTTTAGTGCGTACACGTACTGTAGTTTGCGTACACACTGTTTAGAATGGACCAGCAGTGCTCACGGCTGCAAGTTCAGTGCCCCCGTGGCCGCTTGACTTCCCAGCAGATTTCAATCTCCGCTACAGTATATATCCAGGTGCACACTGTTCGTACAAACTGATCCCAGGCCAAGTTGCTTTGAAAATCTAAAGTTTAGGTTTGAATAACAGTATGCAGTGGAACAATAAATGGTAGTTTCCTTGCCCAATGCAGAAGCAACTTTCCATATGTAGAGTGTAAACTCGCCCGCTAACGTAAAGTTGCTCAGAGCGGACCAATATTTTATAAAGTGTTCCTACATGCTCAAATCAATCTCTCCAATGTCACTCAAATATTGACCTGGAAACTTTGTGTGGTCAAATTTCTGTATTTCCACTGCTCGTTGCCGCTAACATCCCATGCATTATCTCTGTGTCACGTCTTGGTTGTGCGTTTGTGATGGCTGCTGCAGAGTGCAAGTGTTTGAACCAGGGTCAGTGTGACGACAAGGGTAAATGCATCTGCCCGAAGCGATTCACAGGAAGCCATTGCCAAGAAGGTACGTACAACTGGAGCGTGTACGCGCTACGCTTGCGGTTCATGCGTCCCCAAACGCGCGCTCAAGCTTTCACAAAGAACAGCAATCCGAGTCGTATTTAGCGCGTTCGACAACTTCGAGTACTAATTTGTTGACCCCGCCAGTCAATGTGACTGGCATGTACGCTAATACAGGTCCTCCCTCATTATAACGAGTCCATTTAGTACATAAATCCCGTTAGTAAATAGAAATCTGAAATCCCCTGGCGAAACGTGGTCTATACAACTGTTTACAGGTCCGGTTACAACATAATCCGTTAGTACATAAAATCCGTTATAACGACCCTTTGCCCAGGTCCCTGGATTGCCAAACCCTCAGTATAAGATAGTATCACTCCCTTAGTGTTGACTCACATAGATTTTTGCCATACCTAAGCAGTCAAATATTCCTGCATATTTCACTCCTTAGGGCTATATTGACTGCTTATATTTGACTGCTTAGGGGTTGCGCAGTTGAACGGTGCCTAGTGCAGCATTGTCACTGCATGAGTAGGTTGTGCAATCATAAAACCGGGATTCATGAGGTTATCGTTCTGGAATTTGAAATACGGACTGTTTGTCGTGATAAATCTAATATTGACTTCGTACTTGGTCAGTATAGGAAATAGAACCTCGTAAAAGACCTCGGCATCGCCTTGGTCTTTTACTCGGCTTTTATTTCCTATATTGACCTCGTACTCAGTCAATATTAGATGCATATTGACCATGCAGGACTAAGGCCAAAATACGTAGTATAAAGCAGGAAGAGGAAATACTTATGTATTCGTGAATATGGACGATCCTTTGCATCCAAGGAAGAGTTCTGTTGGAGATTTTCAATTATCTTATAATGAGTTCAAGAGTACATAAACTTTGCCAGAGTGTGCAACTCGGGATGGTTCCTGTGGGAGCGTAATTCGTACAGTACGTCATTTCTGACGGCATGGTAAGCCACAGGTACTGTGAAAAGTTGCGTAACCAGTCGCAGTGCTGCAGGTCACCGGGTTGTCCTGATTTCGGTTTTTGATACGGATAGCCTGGTGAATTTACTTGTCGGTGGATGTACACAGTCACACAAAACACCGAAATCCTGAAACAGGACGTCTAAAATCAAGCAAACTTGGCTGATTTTCAGGCTATGAAACATGAAAATTTGAGCTGTACGCAAGTCGCGGCTTGGCTGACCTCATCAGGGTGACGTAGTGCACGAACTGCGCTGTTTCAGATCTGATATGCACAGTTGCACACTCTGGTTTATGTACTCTTGACGAGTTGAAGCATCGATAACTTATGTTGTATCGAGGGTAGCCCCGGTAAGTAGTGCCTATTTCACCTTTAGCTGCACGCTTTCATGAGAAATCACACCTTGACATTTACTGCTGTTATTGTTTCCCCCTGATTTTACCTTGCTTGCTGTATTGTTTCATTTGTTCTTTGGTGCAACGTTGATTTCCTACTTGTAGTAGGAGCGTTGTGGTTCGAATCACTCTTTTTTCAATCGCCTTTTCGTCATACATGTACACGTATTTCTCCTTTCCTTTTTAGACTGTTTTCGCGTTGTATCCATCGCTTGGCACTGCTTAGTAAAGTAATCCAATGTCACTGAAGAGGTTAATTAGTTGTTACAAACCACCAGTTCTCAAGTGGGAAAACCTTCGCGCTAATGACATTGTATTCATTGCAGTGTTGTATCTCGACTCTGCCGTACCGCTGTTGTTTGCTGCAAGGCATACGTTATAATATTATGCGCTGTGTGCGGCATTTACTGTGTACGCTGTTATGTCCTGTTTTATATGCGTATGTTTTTGAATGTTCGCTGACTTTTGCATGCTATAAATAGCTGGTGTTATTAATCTTAGTTGTTGAGAAATATACTGTTGGAGAGTAAATAGTTGTCCTCGTGCCGCGTGGTCGTTTGATCCTGACATTTAAAAGAATCTCAGAGGGTTCACAACATTTGGCGACCACGCCAGGATTGAAGCGAGCATGGCAGAGCAACAAAGTAATTTGGAAGCCAGATTTATCGCTAATGGAATTCGGTTAGGATTGGTTGGCGATGCGTTGAGGGAACATTTGGAGCAGAGGCTCCGACAGTATGAGGAGCATGAGGAGCGTAGTGCCAGAAGGCGAGAGGAGGCGTTCCGCACTGAGTTTGAAAAACGCTCAAGGAGGTTAACGAGCGCATTGCCAAGGCGTGTGAGGGTTAGGTTGAAGCTGCCAGTGAGAGTGCGATGGGAGGTACAGCGGAAGCTCCCAGTCACAGCGGTGGACGTAAGCCGTTGATGAAAATCCCCTCATATTATGGAACGCAGCCATTGGAGCGTTATCTTGACCTGTTCGAGGACATATGTTCCAAGAACGAGTTCGAAAAAAGCGAATGGCTGCTGCGATTGCGCATCGCCCTAGCGGGTAGCAAAGCGGAGAGGATATGTATTGGATGCAATAATTACGAGGAAGCAAAGCAAGAGTTGCTTGCCTCGCTCGGAAAGTCGCCGGATAAAGAGTGGAAGACAGTGCTGACAGGCGAGCAGCGATCAGAGGAGTCTTTTCACCAATACGTTGTCCGTGTTTGCCGAGAGGTAGAGGTGTGGGCCACACTCGCTAAGACGGAAGATAGCGAAGATGGACATCAAGTATAGCGCCTACATCGGTAAAATGGCCCCTGTGCTGCAAGCAATGGCAACTAATTCTTCCAAGTTGCTTCACGTTATGATCTTGTATTTGAAAGCCCTATTTGAATATTGTGGCCAGCCGTCCTTTAAGGTACGGTACGGTACGGGACAGGTACGGTGCGGGATAGCGCCAGACGGAGGTCCGTCCGCCACAGACAAACACCAAAGCAAAGCTGTGTGGACCCTGGCTAGCGTCAGACGTTACTAAAGTAACATCTTCTGCATAGCTACCGTAATTAAAATTATGGTATTATCTTGTTACAGTCCTGGACATTTGCTTCATAACTCGTTTCCAAGTGATTTCCCTGGGGTAACCCTTTCGTATTCGTTCATCTCTAGTTGCTGCCAAAAGCAATAATTGCTGTGCCATTGTGATCACGTGTGCCAGTAATGACTGTTATTTGTTTGTGTCCTGTCTGATTTTTCCATTGCAGTTGTTACATGCGCTACTCCATTAGCGCCTACTTTTGGCAGTTTCTCTCTACCGGCTGGTGTATCAAGCTTTGTCTATAATACAGTGGGAACATTTGTCTGCAATCCCGGCCATCGCCTTGTCGGCGATGCCACCACACAGTGTTTAGCCCATGGTGATGTCAGCAGCACACCGCCCATTTGCCAGAACGTCAACGAGTGTAATAATCCCACATTGCATACATGCGATCAAAACGCGTTGTGTAGTGATGTGATTGGCACGTTCACCTGCAAGTGTTTGGTGGGATACATTGGCGATGGCAAACGTGGAAACTGCCAGAGTTAGTACCAATAGTAAAGTCGGTGGATATTTCCACTTGATGATGGTGTGCAGTGTTTGCAAACCAAACCATTTCCTGTTTTCTTGTGTGGTATTGAAAGCTGCTCAGAGTTCCTTTTTGTGTTTGTTCGTTCTTTGCCGCATTCTCTGCTGCTTCTGCCATAACACCCCTCTGTCCGCTGAAATGATCTGTGCAGCAGCAGTTTGCATGATTGATCTGTGCACATGTTCTGCTGGTTTCAGAATTTGGACAAGTATAGATTATACCAGAGTTTGTAGAATCAATCGACAGCAACACGGGTGTTTATAATCTCGAGAAAAGATCAAATTGTTTTCACAGCAATTGAGATTGAGGCTATTAGAGCTGTCTGATGAATTTGAATTGTTTTTGTTGTCCCTATAATATGACGCTGGCCATGGTTACATGCAGTATGTAATCAGTTAGTAACCCCTTGCATTCTGCTCACATACTGGTGTTCAGACATTGATGAATGTTTGCCGGCTAGCCCATGCCATGTGGATGCTAGCTGCATTGATAATGATGGCGGATACATGTGTCTGTGCAAGTCAGGTTACCACGGAAATGGAATTCAATGTCAAGGTCAGTCAGCAATTTGTAATGAGTACAGAGGTGTCGGCACAGTCAAATTGTTCGGGATGTGGAAACTCCAAAGTTATGCTCATTGCGCCAATTTCCAGAGACCAATTTTGTTGGCAGCACTTAACATGTAGCTGATAGAGGCCTGTCATTGTCATGCGTTACGGAGCGTCTTTATATTTTCCGGCTAGGTACTCAAGATCCAGCTGTTAGCCTGTGTGTTTGCATCTAGTCCTGCATCTATCAGGGTGTGTTTAGAGAATGTTTACAGTCTACTCATGCCAATTAAAACCATGCAAAAGCATTCAGGTACCTAGGATGGGGTCCCGGCTTCAGACCAGCAATGTTCTTGTTTTCCAGATTTCAGCTTCTTGTCCTTATTGTATTCCGCTAGTGTCCGAGAGTAGATGTGAACTGTACAAAGTAACTTTACATGAAACCCCGGTATTCCTGAGTTTAGTGTTCAGCCTGTTTCATTACAAAAATTGTAATCTTTTTGTTCTTGAAGAGGAAGGTTTTTGAGCTGATGAGCTTGTTACCAACTCTCGGCAAAACACTGAAAGCTATTTTTTGCTTTTTGCCGTCGTCAGGTGAAAGTTCAAGCTAGGCAAAGGAGAGTTGTTCTTCGGCACTCAATGTTACTGTACTTAATGAGTACTTTCTCACCTAGTCGCAGATGCAGAGAAGTAGTTGCTGCCACAGGAAGGGAGAAAGGTTTTTCTGCAGCGAGAGAGACTCTGCTGGAACTGCCTCAAGTATGGCCGTGTGGCAAGGGACTATCGGTCAGGCTCGAGGTGCACAAAATGCCAGGGGAAGCACCATCTGCTAATAAATGATGTGTTGGAAGGAGCAGGTTACAGCCAGGATCTTGAGCTGATCAAGCAAGGTCAACCATTGAAGCCTGGGTCGAAGGTGTATCATCTTGCACCGTTTCTGGATGAGCATGGGGTGCTCAGAGCCGGGGGACTACTCCACTACAGCGAGTTGGCGTATGGAGCCAAGCACCCAGTTCTAATAGGCAAACAATCTGACCGAGTAGCTTTTTTGGAGAAAACGCATGTCGAACGCATGTACCAAGGTGTAGAAGGGGTCTTGTTGTACATCCGTCAGAAATTCTGGATTATCGGCGGTCGACGAACGCTACGCAACATTACTCAGTGATGTGTTATATGCCGCCGCTACAAGGCTAAGGCTGCCTCAAAAGTCTGCCCGCCGCTGCCAACAGACCGAGTTGTTCACGAGAAGCCGTTCGCAACTACCGGCATCGACTGTGCTGGTTCGTTGTACGTTCGATGTGGTGAGTCATCTCCGAAGGTATTGATAGCATTGCTTGTGTGTGCCACCACCAGAGCAGTTCAACACAATAAGACCCATGGGTACATGGACGCTGGAAAGTTATAATTCCAGACAAGAAAAGTACTTCCCAGTTTCTATGCCGGGGTTTCCAGCATAATCCGACTTCAAGTGGGTGAAAATTTGTTCCATTTATGTACAAGAAAAGATTCGAATGAGTATGATTCGGATATACCTGGGATTGGTGAATGAGTGTTTTAAATAGGTATTTTGAGGTCTAGACAATCTCCTGATGATCAAAATATATGCAGCAACTTCTTGAGAATCCAATATGCTATGATGTTCTGATGTGCATTTGTGTGCTTTCGATAATACGTGTATACACCCAATCACTGCTGCAGCATGCAATTGCTTGAATCACGGTCAGTGTACTGAAGATGGCACCTGCAACTGCCGGAAAGGATTCCACGGAGACAAGTGCCAGCATAGTAAGTGAAGTGAATACGCATGCTTCTTAGGGCGCGTTTGGTTGGTATGAAGTAGAACAGGATTCACCAGAACAGCGTGTTTGGTTGGGACTGCACCTGTTCTGGGTCGACCAGAACATGTTCTGCTTGCTCCGGCCTCGAGGCGGAGCAGACAATAGCAGTTTCACTCTTTCACAGTAAAACCTGGCAGGAACATCGATTTTGGTCCCAAATGATCACGTGCATACGTTTTTTGGGGTTGAACTCGTTGTACTGTACAAATTGACCATGGTGACCCATAAAAATTTTGAAGAATGCACCAAGTTTGGCACATTTTTCACAAAAATGTGCTCTGTTTCTTGAGTACCGTTTGGTTGGCATGAGGCTACTCCATGTGCTTCAGCTGTTCGATCCTGTTCTAGTTTGTACCAACCAAACACACCCTTTCCTGTTAGTCTAACATGAGTATGTCCAATACTCAATCCCTCTCTTGAAAATCTGAAATGAGCGAGTCGTTGTTTCTCAAAAACTACTGTCAGTAGTATGACCCCCAACATGTAATATTACTTGTCCCTACTTAGCAGAATAACACAGTAGTTGTGAGTATTTCCCGAACCAGGCTGCAAGCAAGACTACAATCATGCGTACCAGGTGTACTACGTTTGGTTTTGCAAGAGTGTAGGCGTGCATTGTTTTATGTCTGGTCAATAGAATACTCGTATTCAGACGAATGCTCGCTAGTTTTCTCAAATTATACTCGAGTCGATGATTATGGCACACAGTTCAACCATACTGTTGCGGATTTCTGTTCGACTAAGATTTACGAATGTTGTTGTATTTGGTTCTTGTCTGGTGGAGTCCAGTGTCTGATGTCATATTTGGTCTAAGTGTACGCGCGAGCATGGTGTAATGTGTGACGTTTATGGTATGTGATGCATGCAAGAGTACGCGACTCCAACGTTATGCTCATCGCGCCAATTTCCAGAGACCAATTGTGTTTGCAGCACTTTACATGTAGCTGATAGAGGCCTGCCATTGTCATGCGTTACGGAGCGTCTTTATATTTTCCGGCTAGGTACTTGTGATGTCTACCTTCACAGTCATGCACAAACACTCAAGGACACAGGTTGAGGTTTGGAAGAATACAATTAGATACAAGTGTGAAGAAGACAGGTAAGAACAGACAACCAGGTCAAGCCAAGCATGCACTTCAGGCGACTAGTCCAAAATGGCGCATGCTGGTTGTGACGTAATACACAGGCAAAATATATGACGTAATAGTCACGTGATAAGACATGAGCATCATATCACATCAGTACTCAAGATCCAGCTGTTAGCCTGTGTTATTTTTCATCTAGTCCTGCATCTATCAGGGTGTGTTTAGAGTATGTTTACAGTCTACTCATGCCAATTAAAACCATGCAATAGCATTCAGGTACCTAGGATGGGGTCCCGGCTTCAGACCAGCAATGTTCTTCTTTTCCAGATTTCAGCTTCTTGTTCTTATTGTATTCCGCTAGTGTCCGAGAGTAGATGTGAACTGTACCGCTGTCACGGGCTTGACAGTCAAGGTCCAGTGGATCAGCAGTCAGCAGAACAAGGCGGATCAATTGACCCGTGTTCCCAGCAGCTGGATCCGATGTGGCAAGACGCTCCTTGCTCGGAGTGCACCGTCCGTCACCGCTGGGGTGGTGACCGTTGGTCCATTCTCATTGGAGAGAGTATCTGCTGCTCAGAATGCAGATCCTCGGATTGTTGCAACTCGCCAGCAAGTCATCGATGGTGATCCAGTTACTGATCCTGCGTTTGTCAAGGTCAAGTCACAGCTCGTAGTCCATGATGGTATGCTGTGTCGAAGTGTGAAGTTGCTGCCCAATGATGCAGTCGTCATTCCTGTTATTCCTAGTTCACTCGAGTCCGATGTCGTTCGTGCTGCTCATGTGAACTGTGGTCATGCGTCTTGGGAGGGTACATGGCGCTTCCTCCGCTCGAAGTGCTATTTCCCGAACATGGCTGCCCAAAGTCAGCAGTTTGTGCGCCACTGTTTGCCGTGTGCTGCTGCCAGCCCAACCAAGGGCGTTTCGGCGGATGCCAGTCGCCCTGTGGTGGCTGATGGCCATGGAGTGTTGTAGTAATAGATACTCTGGAACTGGGCGTCGATCAGAGTGGAGAGTACCATTGTGTTCTCGTCTGCATGGATACTTTCACCAAGTGGGTGGAAGTGGTTCCGCTCCGTCAACATGACGCGGCATCAGTGGCCGAGGCATTTGTCGCCTGTGTACGCGGTGGGGCCCGCCCCGAGTGGTCCACTGTGATAATGGCACGGAATTCATCAACGCCGTGATGTCATCGCTGTTTGACACGTTTGGTGTGACAGTGCTCAACGGTGCCGTGCGTCATCCCCTATTACAGGGATCTGTTGAGCGATTTACCCGCACTCTCCTCACCTTAATTTGGAAGGTGTTGGATGAGGCTGATGATTGGCGATCTCAGCTGGACGTGTTACTGTATTTCGACCGTATTCGTCCGCACTCTGTCCTCAAGATTTCTCCTATGCGTGCGATGCTTGGCTGGGAGCCCACCAGTGTACTCTTCTCGGCTACTCCTGGGCTGGGCCTGACTCCATCTGATCTTGAACGCCAGGCTGCTCGGATCCGTGATTTTGTGGAAGCTGAGCTGTCCTCCAAGGCCTTTGTTGAGTCTGAAGCTGATAACTGTCTGTTCGCCGTTGGTGATGCCGTTCTTCTACGTCGTGAAGTAGAGCAACCCTCTTGCGCATGTTGTACGTATTGTAATGATTGATACGTACTTTCGATATTGATTTCGCTGGTGCACATGTTGGTGCAGCGCTGGTGCACTCGACGGTGCACGCGCTGATGCACGCGATGGTGCAGCCAGTTGTTTTGCGTTGTACGTGATGCAGCTTGTTGAGGAGAAGGGTTTTCAATATATTGTGTTCAGTTCTTCTTGCTTCTGGCCTGGTCGAGTTCGTGCTTTTTTCTTCTGTACACTTCTTGTGCAATTTGGAATTGAAATTAATAATTATAGTCCAACTTATACCCTTGCACTGGTCTGGTGGTGGATAATTCCACAAAACTCTCGTTTTGTCTGTCCATTTTTGTGTATGGCTGATCTGCCCTTTCATTTTGTCTTCTCTGTGTGTGATATGTAATGCAGTTGTGTGCACAAATCCCTGGGTGAAAAAGAACAAAGCATGTGAATGTAAACCGAGACCAGACGGACCCATCTGCACAGAAGGTAAGGGCTAAAGAAAGCTGCTGTCATTTTAGCCCGCGTGTCAAAGAACATATGACCCATGCATACCCGCGTGCTGGACTGTTGTATTTGAAGACAAGAAAAAGCACTTCCCAGCGTGTATGCCTGGTTCTCCAGCTTATTAGCTGAACGTGTGTTCTATTCAAGTGCAAGGCATGATTATAAGTTGGATATACCTGGGATTGGTGAATGGGTGTTAGTGTTAGTGTTTGTGGCGATGTTGAGGTCTATACAATGCCATGATGATCAAGATACATGCGACAACGACTTGAGAATCCAATAGGTTATTCAAGTTCTATCCCTATTTGTGTGTTTTGGGAAATACGTGAATGCACCCAATCTCTACTGCAGTGTGCAATTGCTTGAATGATGGTCAGTGTACTGAAGACGGCACCTGCAACTGCCGGAAAGGTTTCCATGGAGACCAGTGTCAACATGGTAAGTAACTGCTAAATGAAGTGAATACTCGTGTTTCTTTGATTCACATGCTCCTGGGAATTGTGACCATATATGTGCATGCATACATCAACAATTATTCATAAGTTATGAATCGGGTCGGAACCAAATTTGGGTTCCGAACCGATTCATACCTGTGTTTTACCACCCCCCTCCTTTCGGACACAGGAAGCTAGTGCTTGAAGACAGCATGCCTTTCTGGAGACCATGCTCGAGATCTCTCTGACTTCCTAAGAGGCGGTTTACATGACGGCAGTGCATCCCGCCGGGAAGAGAAGCACGTGATCCCGAGACCTTGCAAAACAGACCACGGAATGTCACGACATGCATTTCCAACCACCGCCCCCCTCCCCCCAGCCCCCTCATGGCGCCGGGACCGTACCGGGATAGCCGGCGGGATACGTTCGCGCCAAAATATGAGCACATGTGACTAAATCTCCATGGTAGCATCAGGCACGGGATGAATCCTGCCGTCGTGTAAATCACCTCTAAAGCACTTGATTGTTACAGAAATTGTCTCAAGTGCCAAAAGAAGTGCCTCGGAAGTTTGATTATTGGTATACCCCCCCCCCCCCCCCCCGCCCCTCCTTCCCTCACTATCTATGAATTAACCATGGCTCAGCTCTCCAAACCCGGTGCAAAGACGGTCACCACGAAATTATTCAATAGCCTGCTTGCATATACGCCTAATCAGAGTAACGTTACTCAAGTAGATAATCAAGCGAGATACGGAGGGCTTGATGGCTGATCGAAGCCCAAGGGACTAGCCCGAGGGCTTTGATCAGTCATCGATCCCGACTTTACCTCGCTTGAATATGCTTCAGACAATCCCCAACCAATATTTTATCGGAAATAACATGCATCTTAACCTCTCTATTATTTGAACTGGATTCCGGTATCCATCTGAGAAAGTCGGTGTACGTCGTGTTAGAGTGTGCTGCATTTGCGTTCTACTTCGCCTGACTGTGTCTTGCATGTGTACTGTGTTATGTTCAGCTTTCAAGACAAAGTGCCTGGGTACAGATAAGGCAATGTACACCTGGATGGCTCTTGCCAGCTTGCCATGTTATCCACAACTCGACTATGGCAGCTGCCAGAAGAAAACGAACTTCGTGCACGCCCGCGAGATGTGCGTGAGAAGAGGATACAACGTCGTAGACTATAATTCCTTCACTAAGCTTGGCTTGAAGCTGGGTGTTAGCGACTGCATAAAATCATTGCTGAGCGAGATGATGGCTAGACGTAACAGCAGTTACAGCACCCCTCTCAAGATATGGACATCGGAAATGTACTTTGGTCAACATCTTATTTACAAGCAAGGCAAGGACAACTCGAGCGACGCACTATTTGACGGGGATGGAAGAGGCAATCATGATGTCATCTGTGAAGGTAGGCTGTTGCGTTTTAACCCATTTAAGGCTATAGGCCATGGCACCCAGGCTCTGCACTTCCTATTTGTCAATGAAAAATATGTATAATCTATACCGGTATATACCATACTTCCCCACATATATGCCCATGGGCTTATAAGTGAAAATTTGCTGCAAAAAAGAAGTTTTTGCTGTGTGAACATGTCTGGGTAGAAGCCCATGGGCTTATATGCGCAATAAAGGTTTGTCTGTGTTCTAAACAATGGTGTTATCACAATGCTTAGCAGTATATTCAGCTCCCGGGTGTTTCACCAAGAGTGTTGACATTATAAGCGTATTAGGAAACCAGAGGCCATATGCCACGTACTGCTCTTTTCTCTCCGAAACTCAACACTTGCAAGCCAGATATGAAAGAAAGAAAAAATCATCAGTCACGCCACCGGGACTCGAACCAGGGACCTTGCTATTCGCGAGCAATGCTCTAACCAACTGAGCTACAGTATGACTCTTATCCACAGTGATGGTCAGTCTATCCTTCTTCGATCAATCCATATCTGGTACTCCGAGTTTCTTGAGTTTTTTTCAATCGTCAGGCAACTTTTCTAATTCTCTATATATAGTTAGGAACCTTGGGAGCAACCACTCATATATATACGTCCTCAGCGCCTGGGCATCATTTTCAATGATGTATATATATATAGCGGTTAGTGGGTTAAAGGGTGTGTCCAGTGATAGTAGTGGGACAGGAGGAATGAAACAGAGACGGCGGGAGTAGTGAATGCAACCGAGGTTTCCCTCTTCAATGAGAAACCTACCGCTCTAGCCAGGGTCATATCCACACATGAGTAACCAATTAGTTTCATCTGCGAAGAAACATTTCATGTGTATGCTTGCGCCATAACCCGGTGTTATACTACTCCCTTGGTAGAACCGCTGAATGATTTGCAAATGTGACACGGTGCTGCTCTACGAAGTCTGGCGAGCCCCAGGCCTGTGAACATTGTAGTGTTGAAACTATCTCACCGGATACTCGTTAGCTCGCTCGCCAGAAACTCGGCTCGTTTGTGCGGCCAGCTCCTTTGCACTAAAGAACACCGTACACCGTACTCCGTACACATGGCAGTACATGTCGACCGGGGAGTCGTAAAATATTTTACGACTCCTTGGTCGATCGAGAGTCCAGTCCCGCGCAAAGTGAAAATCACTCGCATTTGCAGTGACTGTATGCCTGCACGACACTTTGAGTTGCTTCAGTTGTCGTTGCAGCTTTGGTGGACTCTACTGATGTCGTGTTCCGCATCTGCTGACCTGTCGCAGGATATGCTTCGGTCACCTCCATTCGAGTGAAAGTTACGCTCAGTCGTTTGGAAGTTTTCTCCCGCGATGCAGCGAAGACCAGGGCTACTTCCCATCTTTGCAAAACGGTCTTTTCTTTCAAAGGCTGCTCAAAGACGGCGCTGAAAAGACATCTCGACACCAAACAACAGTCCGAAGTGAAGCAGCAGCAACCCCAAATGCCGGCGGTGATAATTTGAACCATCTGAAAAAAGTCTTTAATAGAAAAAAAATTATTCAAAAAATCATATTTGCCACATCAATGAAACTCGTTAGCTCGCTCGATAGGTTGCTCGTTAGTGAAACTGATCGCTCGTTTGTTATAGATACGCTCGTTTCAACACTAGAACATTGAACTACTCACTAGCTCTGGGCACTTCCTTATCCATGAGATCGGGTGTCATGGAGCGGGGCGTTTGATTTCAAGCTCCCCTTATTCGTAGATTTGTTTCATGATGTGTTTCTACCCACAACTGTATCTTCCCTTGCTTTGCAGCCAAATGGCTCCAGGCCAACGGTTCTGTACACGCCGCAGCAACTCCAGCACACAGACCCAGCGTGACTGAGCAGTTCGCAGAGGACGCATGTCAGGAGTACGGACATCATCTCATTACCAAGGAGTGGCTAGAAGAACATGGCCATGTGTTAACAGAGCGCTGGCTAGAGAAGTTGGCCTTATTGCATAAACACCAGCAAGCACCTTACCACGTCGCGTCAATCCGAGTCAATGGCCATTCCCTTTACAGAACCGTAATGTTTAGCGCGCGAAAGCAGACGTTTCAGAACGCCACAAGCAAAACTCAAGCCCAGATTCTCTGTGTCAGTAAGTGAGACAAGGCTTCTTAACTTAAACGGCTGACCATGCGCAAGTAGTGCTCTGCCCTTGTGTGTGACATCAGCACGATGAGTATACTGTTGTGCATTTGTGCATTTGTGTAACATGTCTCCTGTGCCACCGTTAACTGTGTGAACAGGGCTTGTGCTAATAATGAGCCACTATGTACGATGTGACCTTGCAATGTGCAAACATGTCGTATCCAAGCATTTCTTGTACGCACAATGGATCCCAATATAGAGAGCCCTTCCTTAACTGAGGATCAGGTTGTGTTTTTTCCCGTAATTTCGAAGTTTCGATTGCGACTTGCTTGTTTGGCACAAGCAACTTTATTTGTTGGAAGAAAGTCTATGCAGTGTAGCGTGGCGATTGTCCGCACTGCTGGGAGTGCAGGCCATATCTTGGTGTTCGCATGAGGGGTATGATGGGATATTATTTTACAGTCAAACACCGATTGTGCGGACGTTAACTCTCCGGACAATCGGTTATCCGGATCTCCTGGTCGGGCTGGACAACATACAAAATTGGCAGCTTTTTTTTAAGTTTTGCTGATTTTTGCCACTCGGAGCAGCACTCAAGCGATGCCCAAGATGTTTTACAGCAGGTTATTCAGTCAAAATGTACAACGATGAGAAGCTGGAGTGCACCTAGTTCCTGTCGTACTAAAATGTTGAAAATATGCTGGAATATGCATGTGATAGATGTATGAGTGGTCCCATAACCGACCATTCTTCTCATCTGATCACCGTGGAAATGGCCGATGCCCCGAAGGGTGGCTGACAATTGGCACCCTGCTGTATTTTAACGGCAACTGTCAAATGCACTATGCTTTAGCTCTTTGGCAGATCCTATGAGGGTAGATACTGAAAAAAATCCCTGCTCTCACGCATCAGTTCCTATAATTTTTTGCTGCCTGATAAGGTTTCTTGGACCATCATTTTGGGTTATCAAAAATGTCAAGTGTTAGGGACTGTAAAGGCCGATTCACAATACAAATTCTTGCGATGCGACATGCAACTTTACAACACCTGCGACGAGCTGCGACAGCGACACACAGTTCACAATAGATGATATGCCAAATAACGTGCTACTAGACTTGAGGGGGCATTGCACACAAGTTGCATACAAATTATACTACAATGTGTACACGGTAGGCCCTGAGCTCTGCAAGAGGACAAGTCACAGGTAACTGTACAACTTTGAACTTTGTATGCAACTACTCTGCAATGCCCTCCCAAGTCTAGTTGCACGTTATATGGCATATCATCTATCGTTTTCATGTTTGCGACATCTTTATGCGCTAGTATTACTTTGCACGTGCACTGCACGTGCACCCAGGGTCGAAACAGTACTCCATTTTGTGTATGTCGTACAACATTCTTCAACTTCTGCGACAGGTGCCTTGCAACAGCTTGCGACAGCTCGCGACAGGCAGATTCTTGTCGCAACTGTCGCAAATCGTGTGTCACGTCGCAGAAGGTTGTACTGTGGATCGACCTTTAGAGTGTAATGCAATTGACTTTTTGTTGTCCTGTTCTGCACAGAGACGTGTGAGACCGGTGTTCTTGGACCAGACCTGAGTTGTGTATGTAACCGCACCTCAACCTATGGTCAATATTGTGAAAAGGGTAAGACACCGAGCCATTCGTTTTTTTTGTTTTATCTGAGAACACGCAGCAAGACTGCTGGAGATCATCCGGTATCATGATCTATGCAAGCGGAGAGACCGGCCCAATTCACCTAGACCACTTAGTTATTGTGAAAGTCATGGAAAGCCCTGTACCTCGGATGAAGCATTTGCTGGAGATGGCTGACATTGCCACGGCTAAATGGCTAATTAGCTCGTGCTCAAGGGTGTCATCGATTGGCGAAACTGGATTGAGTGCGAGCAGGCAGTGCAATTCGAGCAACGCTGACCCAAACTAACAAAGCAAGGGTGTAGTACGCAAAATGCACGCATGTCGTACAAAGATTCTGCGAAGGCTTCCAAAAAACGCCAACGTCCATTTCCACTCCAGCGACTCCCGGTGTGGAGGCCGGTGTTATCGTATTCCACTCCAAGTACACCTACTCCGGATTCGGCCAGATTAGGCCAATTGATCACGCACTTGCTCGGGATTCGCCCTATCGATCATGCCCACCTCAGTCAAATGGTGTTGTTGTTGTTGTTGTTGTTGTTGTTGTTGTTGTTGTTGTTGTTGTTGTTGTTGTTGTTGTTGTTGTTGTTGTTGTTGTTGTTGTTGTTGTTTCAAATCTTTATTCTCACGATAGCCAGTGGCCAATAAGAGATAGTTTTGTTGTTGTTGTTGTTGTTGTTGTTGTTGTTGTTGTTGTTTGAATTTGAATTCTTTATTCTCACGATGGCACCATCGCCAATAAGAGATAAATTTATGAGAAGGTGAGATTGTGGGTTAGAAAGTTGGAAAGTGATTTACATCACTTTGAACTTTACAAGTATGGGAGAGGGTGAGCGCTGCAGAAGCAGATTGAGTTAATCAGCAGTGACAAGATTTCTTGTTTGAAAGCAGGTCGGGAGGAGACGTCACGAATGCTAGCAGGGAGGGCATTGTAGTATTCTAGGGACTTGTACAGTGGGGAGTCTATACAGCGATCGGTTCTTGAGGGTGGGAGGTGCCAAGTGCGTGCGTGTCGAAGGCTGTACTGGGCCGTAACTTGAGCGGGAGTGTTGAGCAAGCGTATGTGTTGTGGGGCATATTGGTATTTTATGGAGTGAGCAAGAAGGGTGAGCTTCACTTTGCGGCGAGAGAACATTGTCGGCCATTTGAGCCGATGGAGCAGTGTTGAATGATCCAGAGGAGTGTAGAGGGGGAGACTTGTTGTTGTTGTTGTTGTTGTTCGAATTCGAATTCTTTATTCTCACGATGGCACCATCGCCAATAAGAGATAAATTGATGAGAAGGTGAGATTGTGGGTTAAACAGTTGGAAAGTGATTTACATCACTTTGAACTTTACAAGTATGGGAGAGGGTGAGCGCTGCAGGAGCAGATTGAGTTAATCAGCAGTGAGCAGATTTCTTGTTTGAAAGCAGGTCGGGAGGAGATGTCACGAATGCTAGCAGGGAGGGCATTGTAGTATTCTAGGGACTTGTACAGTGGGGAGTCTTTACAGCGATCGGTTCTGGAGGGTGGGAGGTGCCAAGTGCGTGCGTGTCGAAGGCTGTACTGGGTTGTTGTTGTTGTTGTTGTTGTTGTTGTTGTTGTTGTTGTTGTTGTTGTTGTTGTTGTTGTTGTTGTTGTTGTTGTTGTTGTTGTTGTGTTTATTTTTATTTTACTTCACCAAGTGAACAGGCATTTCTGCCTTCTCACCAGGTCAGCGGAGACCTAGTTCCGACCAAATGATAAATGTCTCGATTTCCACTAAGCATAGAGTAACACCCCGTGCATTTTTCTATGCCACTCCGTGCATGCGTTTATTGATGGGCGTTGCAGCATGCAAGTGCTTGAATCACGGTCAGTGTGACAACAAAGGTGAATGCAGCTGCCCGAAAGGATTCACCGGAGACAAGTGCCAACTCGGTAAGTAGAAAATATTTAGTTTTCTTCAAGTATTCTTTTTCAGTTCCCTTGGGAATTTATAATCATGCACTGACAAGTACTTTGACTCGCTAATGAAGGAGTCCACGCTTTTTGGACGTGATCGTACAAGGCATAATAATAAATTCTATGGCAACAGTCCATGGTAGCCATGGAAACGGAGCATGGAATTTTGCATTCCACTGCCATGGCAATCGATATGCCACGGTCGAAATTCACTTTGGACGCAGTTGCAAGCGCTCCGACAGGAACATGGCGCCCATTTTGAGAATTGATAAAATTGCACATATGCAATGCCCTGGATGTAGTCTTGCCTTTTGCGCCATTACTTTGTACTACAAGGACCTCATCTCAACAATTGTTTCAACAAGATTCTCAAGCAACAGCACTTTTGCAGCGCGATTTCTTGGGTTCTACCGGTAGGACCCGTGGTCTTACCGGTAGGACGGCATGCAAGCTATCATTAACATTCCAGAATCACGGGTGGTCAATATCATCCTGGAATTGCCCAACCAAATGCAACCTTTAAGTCTGTCTGACTTCGTTTCTGGCTGATTTACTCTCTTCCTCTTCTTCCCCTTCCTTGCGATGTGTGATGCAGTTGTGTGTACACATCCCTGGGTGAAAAAGAACAAAGTATGCGAATGTACGGCCAGACTAGATGGACCTAACTGCAAAGAAGGTAAGGGCTGAAGAAAGCTGCTGTAATGTATGTAGGCATGTCAGAGAATGTATGACCTATGCTCTCACGCATGCTTGAATGTTGTATTTTGAAGACAAGAAAACAACTCCCGAGTCCTCATGCGGGCTTCTCCGACCTGTTCTGCAACATATGCTCAGTTTGTAGCCGGGATGTGATAATTTTAAACTGATTTGGAGAGCATATGTCGGCTACAAGAATTCTGGCTAATCTGAACACTGCAACTAGAATACAGGGGCGAAGAAGCTACAATATTGTGTTGCCTTGTAAACTGATCTAAAAAGAAAAGAAAAGAAGAAGCTAAAAATTAATACATCTCTGCACTTGAAGTGTAAAGCGTGAAGTGTGCAAAGCAGCGTGCACGGAAGTCAATGCTGCGCCTGTAATAGTTTTACCTTGACACTTCTTGCTTGTCTTATGGTAACACCTTGTGTTCCTACTATTCTCACTCCTGCGGTTCTCGCCTTTCTTTTGCTTTTAAACCTCTGGTTTGAACATCATTCGGGGAATTCTCCAATCAATCAAGTCTATACTGTTACACTGGTAGCTTGAGGATGGTTGAGATCATCGTTTGCCCTTTGACGTGCCTTGTGCTCCTGGCCGCTACTGCTCTGCTATACGCCGCTTTCCGTGAGATCCGCCGCGCTCGGGACAACGTGGCTGCTACAGTTGGACGACATCAATTACCTGCTACATCAAGCTCAAGTCCTCCGGATCTAGCCCCGTGTCGATCGCGTTCTCTCTCCCAGACAAGCCCGAGCGTCAAACGCGTTACCAGAGAACCAAATGTTTTCCATGGCAACCCTTCCGAGTTCAAAGAGTGGGTATTTACGGTCGAGTTAGCCTTGAAGTGCTCACCTCAGGTGACCCGGAGAGCCAAGTTAATTTTGCGGCTAGCTACCTCGCTGGGAATGCGCGTCTTTGGCTAATTTCTTCCATCGAAGCAGGTGAGCAGTTTTCGGATTGGCATTCTTTGAAAAGCGCCCTAGCGCGAGTTTATGGCCCGCACTATGACGGGGAAAGAGTGCGGTTGGATATGTTCTCTATCCAACAGCGTGGGTCAATTGAATCGTACGTAACGGAGTTTTCTCGGCTAAGTTTACAGGTGCCGGAACTTGACGAACTCTCCAGAGCCTTGCTATTTGTCAACAGCCTGCACGGCAACATGCGGACCTTGGTAGTGAAGGAACACCCCACTACACTGTCAGCCGCCGTTCAGGCAGCGCTAGCAGTCGCCTCAGACAGCCGATTTCAGCGCAGACCACCACTGGCGACCGGGCCGGGATTCGCACCACCATCAGGTAGCAGAAAGCTAACAAAACTAAGCCCCGAGGAACGTGAGACATTACGAGCCCAGGGGGGGGGGGGGCTGCTTCGCATGTCGTCGACCAGGCCATATGGCCCAGAATTGCCCGCAGCATCCAGATCACCCAAACGGTGGACGTCAGTAAGGCCGATGCGATTACTGACGCATCAAGAAAAGGCATCACCTGCGTGTAGTGTGTGCTCCGTCTCTACCCGTAACCGATTCAGTAGCCTCGCTGTGGAGGATGTTGACGATGATGCTGAATGCTCCGAAGCCAATTTCAAGCGAGATGTTACACCAACTATTGAGGCCCAGGTTACCAGCATCAATGTGGAAACGGAACATGAGCTCCTGCGTGTAGAAGGCAAAATCAACGGTCGTCGCGCGCTTATGTTAATAGATTCGGGCTCGACCCATGATTTCATTGCCAAACAGTTTGCCAGGAGAGTTAACCTGCCAACCGAAATTGGCTCGGAAAACCTGAATGTCACGCTGGCTGATGGAGCATCAAGCTCGTTTCCCATGGAGACGACCCATGAATTGAAGGTTATCGTAGGCGACTTCAGCGATAACCAAACCTTCACGGTGTTCCCCCTTCATCGCTATGACGCTATATTGCGGAAACCTTGGTTAACGCGTAACAATCCAGACATAAACTTCCGGACGAATGAAGTCAGGTTGAACTCGAATGGTTTGCCTTGTGCGTCAGCAAACCGACCGCTCCTGTGGAGGCGATGTTCATATCTGGTCGTCAGGCTAGGCATGCTCTTAGGAGTGGAGACGAAGGTGTTCTGGCATGATTCAGCGTAGAAGACGGCATTGCCAAGGAACCTCCCGACAAATCCACTCAGAACGAGCACCCAGATCTCAAGGCCATGTTCCGTGACTATGAAGATCTTTTCCCGGATGATCTGCCAGCTAGACTCCCACCAGAGAGGTTTGTAGACCACGAAATCCGCCTGGAGGAAGGCTCATCACCCCCATCGCGACCTGCCTATCGCCTGCCCAGGCCAGAAATGGAGGAATTGAAGAAACAGCTCACAGAACTCTTGAAAAAGGGTTTCGTAGAACCAAGTAAGTCCCCCTTTGGTGCACCGGTGTTTTTTGTCAAGAAAGCTGATGGTTAGTTATGCATGGTCTGCGATTGGAGGGAGCTAAACAAGATAACTGTTAAGAACAAGGCGTGCTTGCCCAATGTGGATGATTTATTCGATACCGTACAGGGCGCTAGGTACTTCACGAAACTAGACCTCCGATCAGGGTATAATCAGATTCGCATTCAAGCTGAGGACGCGCCCAAAACCGCGATTAACACTCCCTTTGGGCATTACCAATTTAGGGTCATGGGATTTGGTCTCACCAATGCACCGGCAACATTTCAATCCATGATGAATACGATTCTTCAACCATATCTGAGGGAGTTCGTAGTCGTGTTCCTAGATGACATACTCATCTTCAGCAAAACGTGGTCGGAGCATATGCAGCATGTCCGGTCGGTATTGAGCGTGCTCCGGGACAACCAGTTATTTTGCAAACGGTCAAAATGTGAATTTGGCGTGGAGAGTGTGCGGTTCCTGGGACATTGCATCGATGGACTGCACGTCGCCCCTGACCCAGACAAGATTGCCGCAGTAAAGGTCTGGCCCGCTCCGACTTCCGTCACAGAGGAGAGGCAATTTCTTGGATTTACGAATTATTTTAGACGATTCATAGATCAATACTCATCGCTCTCTAAGAACTTAGAGGAGATAATGGGAAAACATGCACGATTCGAGTGGAACAGCTCTCGGCAACATGCCTTTGAATCGCTAAAGCATGCCTTGTTGAATGCGCCCCTATTGCGGCTGGCTGATGTGAACCGACCATTCAGAGTGGTAACAGATGCAAGCGATTTCGCCTTGGGATGTGTTCTTCTCCAAGAACTAGAGGAAGATGCCTGGCATCCAGTGGCTTATGCTAGCCGAAAATTGTCTGCTGCTGAACAGAATTATACAGCTACAGAAAGAGAAACATTGGCCGTAGTGTTTGCGCTAAAGACCTTGCGCATATACCTCTTTCAACACTTTGAGATCATTACAGACAACATGGCGGTAGTTTATTTGAAAACAAAACCAAGCATTACAAAGAGAGAGGCGCGATGGGTTGAATTCCTAGCTGACTATGACTACACAGTCCGTCACAGACCCGGCAGAGAGAACCCTGCAGATCCCCTTTCGCGTCGCCCAGATCTCCATGAGAGTAACCTCGTGGAGAATGCAGTACCACGTTTGAATGCTATTGAGTATGCTTTAGCAATGAATGATGACGTGTCCAATACAATATCAGATGCCTACCAGAGAGACAAAGAGCTAACTCCCATCATAGAAAGATTGAAGCATTCTCTCCCAGATAATTTGCATGATCGCTATTATTGGGACAAATCCACTGATCGCTTGTACCTCAAGGCATCCCCCAATAACCGGTTGTGCATGCCACAGTGCGGTGTCCGGTTAAAGCTCATTCAAGAACACCATGAGTGTGCAACGGCTGGCCACCCGGGTCGTGATCGAACGTACTTCCGCCTAGCAAGTTTTTTCTACTGGCCCTGAATGGGTCTCGATATCAAGAGATTTGTCAAAACCTGTGATCTCTGCCAGCGAACGAAGGGAGGTCAGCCACGAACAGGGCTTCTCCAGTCACTTCCAATACCTAATAGTCCTTGGCAGGATATCTCAATGGATTTTATTGTTGGATTGCCCCTTACTTCTCGTGGCTTCGACGCAATTTACACCTTTGTAGACCGACTTACGAAATGCGTACATCTTGTTCCAACAAACTCGAAGATTGATGCTAAGGGCAGTGCTCAACTGTACATTCAAAACGTGTTTCGTCTGCACGGGCTGAGCTCGACCATTGTTTCCGATCGCGATCCACGATTCACTGCAGCTTTTTTCAAAGAAGTATTCTCTCAGCTAGGAACTAAATTGGCATTCAGCCCTGCTAACCACCCTCAAACGGATGGTTTGACAGAGAGAGTTACCCGGCAAGCGGGAGATGTTCTAAGAGCATTTGTGAACTTGAGACAGGACAATTGGGATTCGCTTCTACCACTCTGCGAGTTTGCAATAAATAGTTCACAACAGTCATCTGTAGCTAATACACCGTTCTATCTAAACTATGGGTTTGACCCTAAGTCCCCGCCCGAATTCATTCTTACGGGAGGGGAAAGGAGTGATTCGGTCGATTGGCTTCACGAGCAGGAAGCCGCACTAAGGATAGCTCGAGATGCAATGCTCGACGCCCAGGCAAGGCAAGCTCTATACGCAGACCAGACGAGAACGCCCAGTGATTTGAAGGTTGGTGATAGCCTTCTTGTCTACAGAGACTTTCTACTGACCCCGGAAGCTCGTGGCCAGCCCTCTCGGAAGTTGCAATCCAAGTCGTTTGGTCCGTATCATATCCAGGCTAAGATTGGAGCGAATGCTTTTCGCTTGGAACTACCCCGTGAACTTCGCTGCCATCCCGTGTTTAATGTCACTGCTCTTAAACGCTACGAAGAGAACACGATTCCTGGAAGACACCAACCCCCGCCTTCGCCCTTCACAGATCTAGATGGACACACACGCTATGTTGTCGAAGCCGTTTTGAATCACCGACACCGCAGTGGTGAGCAACACTTCCTGGTGCATTGGAAGGGTTACCCCAGCAGCAAAGCTACGTGGGAGCCCGCTGGCAACCTATGTGATGAGTCTGGTCGGAATATTAAACCGCTGCAGAACTATCTAGCCTCACAACGACAGCAGCCTTGATCTAACTGGGCTGAGCCATATGCATCTCTTACTGAGATAGTTAATAATATGTTATAGACTGATATGGTTTTGCGTCATCTCCTTGTGAGAGTGATGAAGTTGAGTTGGATTACACTTCAATGTGGTTATGCATGTGCATGAGTGATTATTTAATATTCCCCTTTCCACAATTGCATCTCCTAACTGGATTGTGTTATCTAATAGAACCTTGGCTTCCTATGGGGCCGGGAGAGTGTAATAGTTTTACCTTGACACTTCTTGCTTGTCTTATGGTAACACCTTGTGTTCCTACTATTCTCACTCCTGCGGTTCTCGCCTTTCTTTTGCTTTATAACCTCTGGTTTGAACATCATTCGGGGAGTTCTCCAATCAATCAAGTCTATACTGTTACAGCGCCCCTACCCCTTCGGCAAAAATATTGATATGGGGAGTTGGACACCCTTGTAAGTGGTTAAAAGAGCTGGTTTGAGGCGTCCATGATGATGGGCAAGGACATGTGAACAATTTCTTGACAGTCCGTTATTCTGTTCCTTTTCGTGTGCTTTGAAAAATGCATGCACATTCCCAATCACTGCTGCAGCATGCAAATGCTTGAATGACGGCCAGTGCACCAAAGATGGCACCTGCATCTGCCGGAAACGTTTCCATGGAGATCAGTGTCAGCACAGTAAGTATATGCCGTATGAAGTAAACCCCTGTTTTGTTCATGTTTCTGGAATACTGTAAAATGCCTAATGTTCGCGACGGATTAATGTTCGCTATTTTCGCCAAAATATTAACCATCGTGAAATCAAGCTTCAACAGTGGGTGTATATAGGTGTCCCCTGTGCTTCGCGACCTTTTGCCATCGCAAACTTGTTGGTTCTAAGAAATCGAGAAAATTTAGTGACGCGAATATTGGGCGATTTACAGTAGCTGAAAGCTCGGCTGCTGTTCATTATGATTTGGCTGTGAGCTGCGCTTGGTGGGTCTCTACATTTGTGGCATTCTCCGTCCTCACTACGTACACGCCAGTGTCCGAGTTCAAAAGGCCCACTGGCACCACACAACAGGACAGCTAGCTCCATGGACCTGCAGGCGGGGAAGATCATTGGACATGCATTCGTAGTGCGTTTGTACGTGCGGCTGTTCATAGTCCCATAGGCCTGTCCATGTGGCTCTGCAACAAGATACATAGCCACGGCAGGTGCACTTGCAGCATTACGATGCAATGCGAGGTCGATTATGAAGATATGATAGTTAATTCTTGTAGGCAGCATATTCTTGTACACGACCACACTATAACCGATATGTACTGTAACAGTTTAGGGCAAGGAACAAAGCAAATAGCGCCTGACGTAGGTGTTTTGTTCGGAAGTTTGAGGAAAGTTGAGAGCGGAAAAGTCTGCAGAAAAAATTGACTGCCATCACCAGAACTACAGTAAAACCTGGTTTAAGCGACCACTCCGCGGTGCAAGCAAAAGCGGTCGTTAAAGCCAGGTGGTCTTTAGAACCAGGTCCCACAGTGTCTGTGTAGAACTGTCAGTGCATGGAAAAATGGTCCGTGTTAAGAGCAGGTGGTCGCTAAACCCAAAGGTCGCTTACACCAGGTTCTACAGTATAGCTGTGATGGTCCGATGATATTTGGGATCATTTTAGTAAACAAATTCTGAAATGGACTGCGGTATCCCTACTGAGCAAGTGTACGTCTTGGTAGGCTGTGGTCCAGTTGTGTTCTACTTCATCTGACCGTGTCTTGCATGTGTACTGTGTTATGTTAAGCTTTCAAGACAAAGTGCCTGGGTACAGATAAGGCAATGTACACCTGGATTGCTCTCGCCGGCTTGCCGTGTCATCCACACCTCGACGGTGACAGCTGTCAGAAGAAAACGAACTTGACGCATGCCCGCCAGATGTGCAAGAGAAGAGGATACGACGTGGTAGACTATAATGCCTTCACCAGTCAGATGCTTGGCGTGAGAGACTGCATGGAAGAATTGCTCAACAAGATGATGGCAAGCAATTTCAACAACCCTATCACAATATGGACATCTTTCTTGAGGGATGGCAAGCATGTCATTTACAAGGAGGGCAAGAACAACTTAAGAGAAGAGTTACATGATAGTAGTGGAGCAAGCCATCTTGATTTCGAGATGATGGCGAGCGGTGACAGCAACCCTATCTCCCTATCGTCAGGGCAAGAACAAGTTAAGAACAAGTTGAGAGAAGAGTTACATGATAGTAGTGGAGCAAGCCATCTTGATGTCAAGATGATGGCGAGCGGTGACAGCAACTCTATCTCAATATCGGCATCGCTCGAGGAGGATGACCAAAATATCATGTACCAGCAGGGCAAGAACGAGTTAAGAGAAGAGTTACTTGATAGTAATGGAGCAAGCCATCATGATGTCATCTGCGAAGGTAGGCTGTTGCATTGTCCACCCAGCCCCATGCCTGCAAATATTGGCCGACACCTGAACCTGTCTCAGAATAGGGGTGAAATGGTAGCATTGACCTTTCCGTTAGACCGGGTTTTATTGAGCATGACTAGATTGTGGGCACCCGTTATTTAGATTTATTTCATAACTTTTGTCAAAAAGGCAGAAGAGACCAGAGAGAATCGGTTAAATAATTGTTGTAACGCTTCGTTTCATGCACAAAGTGGAGCTAAGGCAGTCCTTTGTTGGATCGCTCCATCCTGGTGGTGTTGAGTACTCTAGGCCATCTGGGAATGCTCGCTGTTGTCATTGCGTTTATTATGCATACAGTCGTCCCTCTCTAATCTGGCACCTTTTGCAATGGAATTTTCTGCTGGATAAACAAGGGTGCTGGATTATCAAATTCTGCCCTCCAACCCGGCCCACATGTTATGATACATGTTTGTGTCGCATGTCAAAACATAGGGATTTTCTGTGTCAAACCAAGTACTTTGTGGAATCATGGAATGCATGTCTATAACATACACTTGGGAATATCTTATGCACTAGCATAGGATATTTATTCCCAAATGTATGTTACATGTGTTGTGTATGTTACAATGGTCCCTGACAGTATGCGATGTACAACTGCTGGATTAGAAAATCAAATTATGTACAGTTTGAGTGGTTTGTTGCAGAAAATCGCTGCTGGAGGCGGAATTCAAGTGCCGGATTAAAGGGTAGAAAAAGAACTGAAAAAAATCGTTTTGCCAGAAAGTGTGCTGGTTTGCAAGGGTGCTGGATAAACAAGTGCCGGAATAGAGAGGGACGACTGTATGCCCTATTGCCTACTGTATGTGCCCTTGTTTTGCAGCCAAGTGGCTTCACGCCAACTCCTCAGTATACACCACAGCAACGCCAGCGCTGAGGCCCAACGTCACTGAGCAATTCGCAGAGGAGGCATGTGAGCAGTACGGACTTCACCTCATAACCGGGGCCTGGCTGCAAGCACATGGCTATGTATTAAGAGAGAGCTTCCTAGATAGATTGGCTATTCGGCAAGCACCTTATCACGTCAAACCAATCGTGGTGAACGGCAACTCCCTTTACAGAACCGTAACGTTTAGCGAGGGAAAACAGAGGTTTGTGAACACCACAAGCAATCACCGAGCCCAAATCCTCTGTGTCAGTAAGTGAGATGTCTTGAACTTTTAAAAGCAAAACGATAAAATTATAGCATATGCCTAACAAACTCGGCAACCTGCACCACTGTGACTGTTTAAGGAACTTTTCACCGTACCTGTGGCTTACCATGAGGTCAGAAATGACGTACTGCACGAATTACGCTCCCACAGGAACCACCCCGAGTTGCACACTCTGGTTTATGTAATATTGTCGTTAGTGTTTGGCACAAAACGCATAACTTGTACACCTTGGGTCCTCTCTTTTAATTTTTTAATCGTTGCCTTTCCATCCGAGTCTGACCTATTAGTATTATTATTATTTAAATTTTGAAATGGGCAATCTCCACAGGCGAATTGTATCATATTTTATCAATGAAAAATATCAATTGTGCACTCATAACCATGTATAGAAAAGCAACATTAAACGCAATGCACCTACAAACATAACGCTTGCGAAGCACGTTATTTAGACATTCAGTCTGATCGTGAGTGTATCTCCGTTTAAAGTAGTTAAATAACCGACGAGGACGGGCAAGCGTTATGTTTGCAGGTGCATTGTGTTTAAAGGGGAAGTTAAGGCAAAAATTAAAATTTCACCAGTTGTAGTCTTCGGGGTGCTGAGTCGAATGGTCGTGGTCCGAGGAAGCTGAGACGCTCCCTTCCTACTTGAATCCCAATCGAACTCGCGTACTTCCACTGAAACTGGGTGACTGCGCCATACTAGATGGGGATTTGTATGCAAAATGTCACTAAAAGCGCCATTTCGTTCTTATAAAAGCACGGATGACCGCGATTGGCCCATATGTTGTAGTCTTTTGGACGCTGAGTCGACTGGTTTTGGTCCGAAAAGGCTGCGATGCGGCGTTCCTCCTTTATTCCCAATCGAACATGGATGAAGAAGCGGTCACGTGCTCCTGCGTACACCAGTCACCTGGTCACCGTGCCTGCAGGGTACAACTTACTAGCCTGTTTGACCTTTTTTGGGTGCAGTCCAGTCACTCGAGTTGAACTCGAGTTGAACCTTGGTGTGAAAGTTGTCACCTGCTGGCGTGGTGACCAGGTGATTTGGGCACCCAGGACCACGTTACCGCTTCTTCAACCATGTTCGATTGTGAGTAAAGGAGGAACGCTGCATCGCATCCTTTTCGGACCAAAACCAGTCGACTCAGCGTCCAAAAGACTACAACATATGGGCCAATCGCGGTCATCCGTGCTTTTATAAGAACGAAATGGCGCTTTTAGTGACATTTTGCATACAAATCCCCATCTAGTAGGGCGCAGTCACCCAGTTTCGGTGGAAGTGCGCGAGTTCGATTGGAATTCAAGTAGGAAGGGAGTGTCTCAGCTTCCTCGGACCACGACCATTCGACTCAGCACTCCGAAGACTACAACTGGTGAAATTTTGATTTTTGCCTTAACTTCCCCTTTAATGTTGCTTTCCTATACATGGTTATGAGTGCACAATTGATATTTTTCATTGCTATTTTACGACTGTTGTCTCCTCGTCGGTTATTTAAATGCATCATATTTGTTTATGAATGGCTGTTACGAGTAGATCTACTAACGGTTACATGTGTTTTTGTCCTAGTACTATTTCGAGTGCTGGCTTCAGTGCTTCAACAGTGTTCACGCCCCAGTTTGCTTGCAAGCGAAAGTTGCCTGGTAACTTTGTGTAGTCTAATTTCTCTATCTCCACTGCTCATTGCGTAACCAAACCGTGTATTTTCTCTGTTTCACGCCATGTTGCGTGTATGCGGTGGCTGCTGCAGTGTGCAAGTGTTTGAACCAGGGTCAGTGTGACGACAAAGGCAAATGCATCTGCCCGAAGGGATTCACCGGAGACAATTGCCAGAAGGGTAAGTAGAAGCAGGCGTCCATAGCCCCAAGAGTTTGCAACTCTGTACATGGGGTCCGCGCGGCGGAATTCCAACATTACGTACAAGTTCGTTGCGCTTGTACTACTCCCTGGTGCCAAACAGAAAATCCAAGCACCACGGAATGCAGAGTTTTGTCCTCTGTGCCTCAGTGGCATGACGTTATGTTGGAATTTTGCCGCGCAGTGGGCCTGCAGCAGCCAGACAACCAGTTGCACACCCTTGGGGTTGTGGACTCTTGGTAGAAGTGAATTTCCTTACCGATCTGAACACTTCTTCTTCTTCTTTTTACATGTACGCTTCACATTCACATCAAGTTCTCTCGCATGTTTGTCACTATTGTAATAATGCATGGTTAGTACTCTTGGTTGCCATATTAAAGTTGCTGTCTCCGAAATGCTTGTTTGAATTTGTTTACTTCAAGTGTTTCCTTTACATTGCATGCAATTCTCAAAGTATACCTTTCGTGGGAACATGGCCTCCCCTGACTGTGTGTAGGCTTTGGAGTTGTTCCGGTTGGCCCTGATTATGCAGTCCTTGTTCTAGTTTCTATTTTGAGTGAAAGTCGACAGAAGAAGTATACCGGTTCACCAAGCTCTTGCTAGGAATAAGAACACAGAACACATGTGCATCAGCAAACCTGCTATTTTTGTGTGGTCGAAATGCTCATCCGTCCGCAATGTGTTACATTTCCCTGGTCAATTGTCCAGTCTCTTGCCTCTTGGAGATGCATGGGAGCCTTGACCCTCGAGGGGTGGGGTATTCCTATAGATGTGGAAAACTCGGCCTGCAGCCGAGTGGCACGCAAACTGTGCATGTTTTTCCTCTTATACTAGTAAAAATTAAAAGAATTTGATAACTGCAATCAGTAATACAAGCTGGATGGACATTTGTGTACACTTTGTTCATGTAATGTAAAACTGTGGAGACAATGTGCAATAAAACGATGAAAATGTGAAGAAATTGTGTAGAGAAAAAAACGAAAGGGACTCAAACAAGTTTTCGTACAACACTCATCAGGAATCTTCGTTGGACTAAAGGACACTGAAAACTACATTGAACTATTATAGAAAATGTAAGTTAGAGAAATAACACTAAGAACAACAGCAGTGAATTTTACAAACACAACAAAGACCGAAGCGAGGGCGACCTAGAAAACAACCGTTACCTACACAACTTGCGGATCCTGGCTCACAGACTGTGCTTGCTCCGCCGTCGCTGGTGGCTGTGGTGGAGGAGGGTGGTCGTGGAGGCTCATTGGGCCGGCTTGTGTCGCCGCCTTTGCTACTGCCGTCGGTGGTTCCTTCACTGGTGCACCCGGCTGCTTTGGCTGGGGTGGTGCCGCTTGCGGTCCCGGTCCCACTGCCTCCTCCTGATCCTCCGCCGTCGGCTCTTGCTGCGGTGGAGCTTGCCAGTGACAGACCGCGAGCAACACCGGCAGTGGCGTTACCACTACAATTGCCAACCCAAAAAGACCCACCTTGTGTATCAGCAGCTCCCACACCATCACCAACAATGCAATCTACAGCAACCACAACTAATCCACCATCCAAGCCCACTATTGAAAGACCAAGACGATCAACAGCCAACTACAACAGAAGCTACGCACTCAACGGACAAGGGCGTAAGGAGGGACGTGACAGCAGGGTGACGGCCGAGTCACGTTTAATGGACCAAGTCAGGCGGGATAACAGAGAGAGCGCAGAGAAAGCGGATGATGGGACGGACGGTGAAGGGAGCAGAGAGTCGGAGAGCGACGATTGTAGTGATCGTGAGAGTGCCGGTGAGAATGTTAGTGTTGTTCGTGGTAGCAAGTCTTCAATGTACAATCATCTGTTGGCTAGTCTTGATTGTTGCAATTCGTATTCCGACTCTTCTTTCACTGTATTGTTCCGTGGTCGTCATGGTTATAGACTACAGTTAAGGTGGCTCACGCCTATTTCAAAAAAATTAACGATTGCTCTGAAAATTTGGCGGGCGGTTGCTCTTAGGTAGTGTATGCAAATGGCGAGTTAAAAAAACGGGGTCTCAATGCTAACTTTTGAGATATAGGCGATGACAATTTCACTAAATTGTCAAATTTGTACGGGATTTGTGATGTATAGCGGACGGGTATTTCATCAAGAACCTGATTTACAATCTTCCTCAATTTTTGGTTATTGAATGGACTTACTGTGTACATGCCAATGAGAAAATAAAAAATATATGCTTCAATGCTCAATTTCGCCATATAGGCGCAGAATGCCTTTTTGATAAATTTGCTTTGCTACATGTACATGCACACCTACATATCCCATGTACATGTCCATATACATCTACTCTTCTCTACTAGCCCACCCAACCCTGCAATACACATTGACACAAGTGTACACACACATACACACACACACGCATACATGCAAACACACACACACACACACACCTGTCCTGTCGAGCCACTACCACTAGGGTCACGTGGGCCCTGGAGGGGCAGTAGAGAGAGAGAGAGAAAGAGCACGCCACCCGGTGGCGCTCCGGACACACACACACGCACACACACACACACACACACACACACACACACACACACACACACACACACACACACACACACACACACACACACACACCTTTGGACCTTTGGAAAGCCCATCGCGATTACCATAAAGAAATGGTGAGATACTACAGTAGTACCCTCTACTGACACAATGCAACCACGTTGTCCAGTACATGTTCGAATCAAAAATACGTTCGTACATTCGTGACCATTTCAATTTATATGCAAGGGCAACCTCCACAATCCACTGGCTTCAGAGTCGATTGATCATTATAGAACGGCCATTCTTGACAAAATAGTCAGACAAATTTTGTGAAGTATGGCGTTCTACTGTGGAAGGGACTCGCCAAGTCACTTGAACCAATTCAACGAAAATACAAAATACTAAGGTTTTACACATTCACGTACCCGTCTGTGCCGTCCCCCATTCCTTCCAAGACATCCACATAGGCTCCAACGCTTTTATTCTACTCTTTTTCTGAAGCCGACCATGGGCATGGGCAGTGCCTGCTGGAAGGGACATCCCAACACTTCTCTGACAGGTGACAATTTCCACACGTAAAAAATGCACCTAAAAAAAAGTAGCCAAGTGAAGGAGTGAAAAAAAGAAGAAAAAAGCTCACACCCTAGACTCGAGTACGAGAGTTTCGTACTCAGGCCATATCCTCGAGCTGGACCCTTCGAAACTGGAGTGCGCTACAAACTCGCTACGCCAACTCCGCATGCACTTTTCTCGAACGTAGGATGCGCGAGAACCTGCGCAGAAGACGAGTTTAGAAATAGGCGCGAGCCACCTTAAAAGTTTTTAGAAGCCATCTGTCAGCGTCTGTATAAGCCTAATTTGTGTGTACAGAAAGATAGTATAATTGGGTTGAAATTGTTCAAGTAAAGTGTCATGTTTGGTGCGGCCAAGCTTGGCCGTTAATGTTCTAGGTGTAATGTACTGCTGTTATTTGTTGTCACTTTGTCCTTCATTCTTTCTTTCTCTTCTTTTTTTCGTATTTCAGTTGCAAGTTGTTGGTACACACATTCGTTATTGCTCTCGCTTTCATTGTTAAAATTCACTCTTGTAAATTTCACTGCTGTTGTTCTTAGTGTTATTTCTCTAACTTAGATTTTCTATAATAGTTCAATTTTGTTTTCAGTGTCCTTTAGTACAACGAAGATTCCTGATGAGTGTTGTATGAACACTTGTTTGAATCCCTTTCCTTTTTTTTTCTCTACACAATTTCTTCACATTTTCATCGTTTTATTGCACATTGTCTCCACAGTTTTACATTACATGAATAAAGTGTACACAAATGTTGATCCAGCCTTGTATTACTGATTGCGGTTATCAAATTGTTGTCTCCTCGCCGTTTGTTCAAAATAAATAATAATAAATTATTTTTCCCTCTGTCTACTTGTCTGTCATTCTTGTGTCTGGCTAATCTCTGGCTGTTCTCCCTCTTTCTTGTGATATGCGATGCAGTTGTGTGCACACATCCCTGGGTGAAAAAGAACAAAGTATGCGAATGTAAACCCAGACTAGATGCACCTAAGTGCACAGTAGGTAAGGGCTGAAGAAAGCTGCTGTAATATTATGTGCCAGCGTGTCAAAGAATGTATGACCCATGGGAACATACATGCCGTTATATTGTATTTGAAGCCAAAGATACACTTCCGAGTTTGTATGCCGGATTGCCCAACGTACTGTGACCGTAAAAGTGGCTGGAATTTTGTTCTATCCACGTGCAATACATGATACAGTCATGTGGGCATCGGTTGGATATACGTGGGAGTGTTGTAATCTGGCTGTTCATGTAGCTATGTACTGGTGGGTACAGTGTCATGATGATCAAGATACATGTAACAATGTCTCGAGAATCCCATATGCTATGTTGTTCTGCCACTATTCGTTTGTTTTTGGAAAATATGTGCATCCAATCACTGCTGCAGCATGCAATTGCCTGAATAATGGTCAGTGTACTGAAGACGGCACCTGCGTCTGTCCGACCGGATTCCACGGAGACCAATGTCAGGACAGTAAGTGTCTCTGTTTGGTTTTGATTAGCTATATTTTTCTTCACCAGAAGCACAGGCAAAATCTGCCTTCTCACTGGGCGTGTTGCCACAGTTGCAAAATGATGAAGATAGTGATAATGATAAGAAAAAGAGAAAGAGGAAAATGCAATCATGAACAAAGCCCAAAGAGAAGACGGAAACAAATCAATGAGGGTATCTGCAATGTGAAGTGAGTATGTAACACCACACCTGCACACATTCACTTAAAAAACACACACACACATACACACACACACGCACGCACACACACACACACACGCACACACACACACACACACACACACACACACACACACACACACAAATACACACCGGCACATGCACAATTACTCTACCCGAGCAGAGCAGTAGTGCTGGACTACAAGTATTGCTTTTCAGAAAACTCACAGTCAAAGCCGTTTTCTTTTTTTTTTTAAGAACAATGGCTTTGGCACCTCTCTGTAGATGCTTGTAGCAAAAGGTTCCTTCCTAAGGGCATGCAGACTCCATTGTAGGCACTTCATATTTCACACAGTTAGTATCATAGAGTTATGCTAAAATGATGTGACGTTATTGGACTCATTTACCTACTTACCTACTGTTTACAGAAAAATGGGATTAACTGATTCCAGTGCATTTGTCTCCACAGCATTTGATCATAGTGGTCCGGAATTCCAGAAAGAGAATTGAAATGTACTCACCGTAGTGTCGTGTATTACCGCCGAGCGTATTCCTGTGGAAGCCGATTTCAGGGCTAGGCTTCTATTCAGTATTCACATCAAGCTTCTATTCAAACCAGGTATTTATATGTGCGTCAACACTAAAACCAGGCTTGTGTACCAAAAGTGTATTCTGAAATACACAAATGTCGGTTCAGCTAATTTTTTTGATTGCGGTTATCAAATTATTGTCTCCTCGCCGTTTGCTTCTATATGAGATAGGCTTTAATACAAGGCACTACGGTATATCATAATTAGTACAAGCCTTCATCCTGTTGGTAAAAGCGCATAAATGAGATTGTGTGGGTGTGACTTTCACAGGCCCCAAATATAGAGAAGGATTCGTTACGCACTAGCAAAATTATGGGATTAACAGCTTGTCCTTATAGTGCTTCAACCTTGAAAATTTGAACACAAGACGGACAGAAAGGGTTTTTGGCCACCGTAATATTTTTCTCCTGTACCTGAGTATGTTGTACATGTCTGTGTGCTGTTCTGTGTTCAGATTTCAGGACAAAGTGCCTGGGTACGGACAAGGTGATGTACACCTGGACGGCTCTCGCCGGCTTGCCATGTTATTCAGGCAGCTGCCCGAAGATAACCAGTTGGACGAAAGCCAGAGACGCATGCAGTGATAGGGGATATCAGCTGGTCGACTTTAAAACCTTCACCTTGCTCGGCTCAAAGCTTGGTGTGCGTGGCTGCGTAGAGTCATTGCTCCACGAGATGATGGTGAACAGTAACAGCAGCCCGATCACGATATGGACATCATCCGAGTACAATCGTCGGCGTATTATTTACAAGCAGGACAAGAACAAATCGAGTGGTGCAATATTTAGTGTTCATGGGTTCGGCCGTCACAATGTCATCTGCGAAGGTAAACAATTGCTTGTTTTAAAGCGATATCATTGGACGGGCAAATGGTGAGAATGCTGAGTAGCACACAGTGCATGGACAGGATATTATGTCCAATGATAATGACGGGACAGGAAAGTATGAAACAAAGAGACAACAAGAGTGCAGCCACCTGGGTTTCTCACATCAATGGCACACCTACCGTTATAGCCAGGGTCAGACCCACACATGCGTAACCAATTGATTTCACCTGCGAAGAAGCATTTCATGCGTATGCTTGTGTCATAACCCGGTGTTATACTACTCCCTTGGTAGAACCGCTGAATGGTTTGCAAATGTGACACGGTGCTGCTCTATGAAGTCTGGCGAGCCCCAGGCCTATGAACATTGAACTACTCACTAGCTCTGGGCACTTCCGTATCCAAGAGATCGGGTGTCATCAAGCACGATATTAAATTCACAATAGCAAGAATTTCAGTTGTCTGAGGATTGCTTTAGGGGGCGTTCGTTTTTGATCTACAGGTTTGGGTAGAAACTACTTCTTTCGGTAGAGTTTTTCGTTTTTTGAAAAGAAATTCTACTCAAAAGGGTAGATTCTACTTTTTTCTACCGGCTCTACCGGGATGAAGTTGGTTGAATCCGGTAGAAGTTGGTAGAGCTACGGGATTTCCAGCAAGATCAAGGATTTGTACACAACTCCATACAAAAAGGAAATATTTCACGTACACATCGTGTAAACTTCTAAATCCGGTAGAACAGCGTTCGTACACTTGCCTCTATCATCTACCTCTATGGCCACTCATTTTTATTTCTATGCTTCTCGTCACCCACGCGCATACGATTTAGGAGTCTTGAAGAAAAAAAGAAAAAAACTGTGCTGCACTGACTGTGCATATGGGGACCAGCACACACATTCACATGTACATGATGTGGCGTGGCCTGTGCGACACATGATGCGAGGTCGGCATTTGTTGTGCGCAATCTAGCTGCACATGCACAGATTGTGATAGAAGCGCCTACCACATACTAGTTGCTAACTATGGATGCTATTTTGCATGGTGTATTGGTGGATTTTAGTGTGAACAAAGGTCTAATAAACTTTTTTTATTCTTCGGTCATTTTGTATTTTTCCACCTCTCGCAAACATTTTTTGATTTTCAGGTGACGAGAAAACTAGAAATAAAAACGTGTGGCCTATCGGTAAAGTGACTCTACTCTACTAGGTAGCTAAAAACGAACACAGCTTTGGCCTTGCTATTTGCACGAAACGCAGCGTTAAAGCAATAATGATGCCGCTTGTCTTAGTTCTCTTCCGCCTATTTTTGTTTCTACCCACAACTGTATATGCCCTTGTGTTGCAGCTCAATGGCTCCATGCCAACGATTCTGTATATGCCGCAGCAACTCCAGCACTCGGACCCAGCGTGACTGAGCAGTGCGCAGAGGACGCATGTCAGCAGTACGGACTTCGCCTCATAACCAAAGACTGGTTACAAGAACATGGCCATGTGTTAAGAGAACGCTGGCTAGAGAGATTGGCTTTAGATAAGTCCGACGGATTAGGTTACCACGTCGCGCCAATCCTGGTCAATGGTCAGTCCCTTTACAGAACAGTAAAATTTAGCAGACAACATGTGACGTTTAAGAACGAAACAAGCCATGAGGATGCAAAGATTCTCTGTGTCAGTAAGTGAGAGAATAATAAGTGACTGTCTTCTGCAATGGCTGTCCATGCACAAGCTGTGTTTGGTCCCTGTTTGTGCCGCTAACGTGATGAATATAGTTGTGCGTTTGTGTAAATGTGTCCCGTCGCTACGTGCACTGTATGAACAGGGCTTATGCCAACAATGTGCCCACTTGCAATGTGCAAACATGTCGTCTCCCAGCATTTCTTGCACCCACGGTGAATCACAACATTGAGAACACTCCCAGAACTGAGATTAAGGCTGTGTTTCTTCGGTGTCTTCCCAGGGATACTCCGAAGTCATTACAGCATGTTTTGATTCTAAGGTTTTGTTTGGCGCAATATCAGTTTGTGGCAGAGACGGGGGAGAATTTACTCCCTGGATTCCAATTGCGAGGAATCAAAATGCATGACAAGCTGAAGTTCGACATGCCATCAGGGTTGAGAGAATTTACAGACAACTTTTTGTTGTTGTCAAGAAACAGGGGGAATTCCCATGACTGTCACCACGTGAGGAGGCGAAAGTTTACTACTTGACGTGAAATCCCCGGCGAGGGCTGTAACCCTACTATTTGCCGACGGAGCTGAGAACTTTCCTATGCAAATAGACTTTTCGATTGCTCAATTCCATTCAGGGAAAGCCGAGTTCCGAACATTTGAGCATCTGCAGTATGCACTGCACAGTAATACGGATGTATCTATCGTACAGCAAGAGCTCAGAAACCGTGTTGGAAGTGTTATGGTGTCATGCATCCCGTTCTATGGTACCGTGCCTTGCTGTCATGCTTCCGTTCTATGGTACTGTGCCTTGCTGTCATGCTTCCGTTCTATGGTACTGTGCTTTGCTGTCATGCATCCCGGTCTATGGTACCGTGCCTTGCTGTCATGCATCCCGGTCTATGGTACCGTGCCTTGCTGTCATGCATCCCGTTCTATGGTATCGTGCCTTGCTGTCATGCATCCCGGTCTATGGTGCTGTGCCTTGCTGTCATGCTTCCGTTCTATGGTACTGTGCCTTGCTGTCATGCATCCCGGTCTATGGTACTGTGCCTTGCTGCCATGCATCCCGTTCTATGGTACCGTACCTTGCTGTCATGCACCCCGTTCTATAGTACCGTGCCTTGCTGTCATGCATCCCGGTCTATGATACCGTGGGTGTAAAAGCCCAAGAACAACTCGTCTTGTTCCTTCAATCCAGGTTTTTTTTTTAGATAAGCTACTATCCCCATTCTAGTGTTATAGCAGGGCTGCCACTTGCTCCGATTTTTTGGAAATCGTCCGATTTTTGATCCCCTGTCGGACAAACCGACCGATTTTATTTTGAGCACTTTTTAGTCCAGTTGGCCATTTGGCTCTTCCAGGTCGCGTTTGTCCAGTCATTGTACATGTACATGTACATGTAGCTGTAAAATGCTAATGTGTTGACCGTTAAAAATGTGTTCTGGGACCCCAACAGCAAGCCATTTTCCTAAATATTTTCACCCGGGGGACCCCCCAGACCCCCGTCAGATTTTTCTCCCTCCAAGTGTGGCAGCCCTGTTATAGACTGCATAAGAGTAATCCAATATTGACTTTTATTATCTTTTTCTGCACAGAGTCCTGTGGGAGCGGTGTTCTTGCACCGAACATGAGTTGTGCATGTAACCGCACTATGTCCTACGGTGAAGAATGTGAAAAGGGTAAGACAGCAAGCCATTAGGTTCGTGTGCATGTGTGTGTATATGTGTGTATGTGTCTGTATGTGCGCATATGAATATCTGAATGTGCGTGTATGTGCGTGCTTGTGTGTGTATGTGTGTGTAGGTGCGTGTATGTGTGTGTAAGCGATTACAGGGGGCAAAGCCACCTGTCCGGTTGGTCCTGCTTTCACCGGACCACTTTTCGGGCCGATGTTTCCTTTTCTCTTTCTAGAGAGCTGATGGGAGTTCAGCGATCGATTGGGCGCAGTACCATGTGCATTATGTACACAGCACCGACTAGGGAGACCTGCATGTACTGTGCCTTATATGTAGGGCTTTCAGGGACAGACTGGCGGCACAGAGTTTTTTTTTGCTTCATGTTGATCGAGAGTCGGAGATGGCTGCGAAAACCTTGAAGGCATCTGTTCCTGAGATTTCTTATATTCCCATAGCCAGCAATGTTTTTAGTTTCCAAAACAATTGTGCGAGGAAACGAAGCCTGTAATGTGCGCTTCTAAGCCCTAACGGTTCACAATCTTGGCTTTCCTGGATTATGATAAGGGTGCAGGTTCAGTGCTTTGCCACACGACTGTCTATTCTTCCGGCCACAAACTCCACATTAGAGAGGTTATTCCGTGCATTTCGCCACCTGAAGACGTCACAAGGCCGTCTCCATCATCTAATGGTTTTGCAGTATCATCAAGACGGACGAGAAAAAAGTACTTTCTCCAAGTTTAGGTCATATCATCATAACTGCAAGTTTTAAAAGGTAAAATGTCCAACTGAGACCAGTCCAAAAGTGGTCGCTACCGCCCTGCATTAGGTTTTTGTTGTTTTTATCAGAACACACACCTTCCAGAGAAAGGGATGAACACTAACAAGAAGCCGTCCCTACATCCCCTGTGTCTTGTTTGTGTTCTTGAGCTGTGAAATGTGATTGGCTACTTATACTAATGTTCCAGAAGGTTCTAGAATTTTGTCGGCAACCGGTTTTCGTAGATAGCTTGTTGGTTAAGGACCTAGAACATGGTTGGAGGTTGTCGAACTTTTGTTCCCTTCCTTTCTTCTTTATTGTTGCTTCTTTACTCTCTTTGCTTTCCAAGTGTGTATATAATATTTCTTCTGTGAGCATTATTTGTAAAACTAGAAAGTGAGTGCTTTGACTTGAGTTTGTGCGTGATTGCCTCCGGGGGCCACTTACTACACCGTGACCTCCTGTGCATTATTTCTGCATCACTCACTCCATGCATGTGCTTTTTTCCCTGCCTGTTGCAGCATGCAAGTGCTTGAACCAAGGTGAGTGTGATGACAAAGGTGAATGCAGCTGCCCTAGGGGATTCACCGGCCACCATTGCCAACTCGGTAAGTAGAAGTGAATTCGTTTTACTCATTTCATATGGCTGGCGTGGGATTTTTAGAGCGTACATCCATGTAAAAGTGGGCTCCCCTTTACCTTACGTGTACGAGTAGGCTTCGCGGTAGTTTTAACAGGGGTGACAGAGAACTAGGACATGCATACTGGTCTTTTGGAGTGCTCGCTTGAAATAGGAGTGTTGGGGTGAAACGAATATTCTAAATCGTACCGAATATTCTGTAAACGAATTGAATAAGTATCGCCGAAGTAGCACCAACCCTTTCTTCAAATTGGATACCGGATATTCTATAGTTTGTTTGTTCTCACATCACTGAAGAATATGTAGACAGTTCTGTCTGGTTCAGCCTTGTGAGCCATAGTCCCCTTTCCCAGCATGCCAACCACCGCATTCTACTGCCATGTACTCGAGGTTACTCAAAATTTCAGAAATTTTCGGTTCTCAATATTTTCGGCATGAGGGCAACAGGCTAGGTTAGGTGGACAGAAATTTTCGGTACAGAGAAGCAGTTCCCTATTGGATTATGTGTGTTAGTGTTTGTTTGGTGTCTTGAAATTTTACGTATGAAACAGACGCACCGAAAGTTCCGAAAATAAAAGTACACAGAAAATTTGTGAAATTACAGCACCCTAATAGAGAAGTTCGGCAATACGTAAAGTTGAGCAACTTTACGTTAGTGGTACATATTTAGGACTCTCTAGCCAGGTCGACCCGGTCATACACTGCCGCGTTCCAAGCTGCCAAGGGCAGGTACGTGATTCGAAAACTCCATCAGGCGGAACACAGGTCCGCATGCAGTGGGACTCTCCATTCATCGACTAATTATGTTGCGCGGAACCTCTCTAATGTTGTAAGCTATAACCTCACACGGACCAAGTCAATGACTGGAATATTAGGCTGCGTTTACATGAAAATGCACGGCCAGTTTTCCATTTTCGGTCCCGCATTTCTTCTTTAGTTTTCGTGCGTTTACATGATCAAAGCTGATCCGAGGTGGTCTCCGTTTGTATCGTTTTCGCGCGTCTACACGGGAGCAAAGGATCCGCAAACGTTCGTCATGTGCCAAGTGTTGTCGTGGAAGCACCAACAACACTCGTCACATGACGAAAATTGTAAAAACATTTTTTGGGATTGCCGGATCCGTGTAAACGGCCGAAAACGAAACAAACGTGACGGAAAACGAGGCCAGCATACCGTTTCGACTGTTTACGCACTCAAATTTCTCCTTCAGAACATTTCCGTTTTCAAATTCTTCCACCTTGGCCAGCGTTTTGGTTTTCTTCCATTTTGGTCTACAACTTTTACGTTTTGCTCTTCGAACCGTGTAAATGAACCACGCATCCGAAAGGATTTTGTTGCGTTTTCACCCCCAGCTTTGTCGTGTAAACGCAGCCTTACTTGCACATGCAAAATGTCCAAAACCAAAACACTATGTATTCAGATCTGAATCGAATGCTTCGAATTGTTATCCAAAGGAACAATTCCAGAATATTCAGAATTCGTTTCACTCCTAAATGACACAACAAAAAAAGCACGAACAGTTCTCCGGCCACACTCCAAAATAGCAATTTGTGCTACTCCTGAACTGTGAACTGTTCGTGCTGTCGTCTGCAAGTGCTCTGGTTTGGTCTGGTCTTGTCAAATGAAAAACCTATTACCACCCTCTGTCTTAAGTTGGTCATGTCACGTTGTGCTTCTGTCGTCATTTTGTTTGTTAGCAAAGTTTCAATTGTCTGAGTGTGCCGCAGAGCAGTGATGATAATTGACGCTATCTACTGATAGCACTGATTTGTAAACTGCTGCTTGTCATTCCTGCTTTAAGAGTGCTTACCTTCCAGCAGCATATCTATCTTTTGGAAGAAGGCCATTATGATCGAAACCCAGATTTATCCAAGTTTCCCTGGTCCAGCCTCTTTTACTTTATAATTGTCTTTAGTCTGCCTGACTCCGTTTCCGGCTGATTCACTCTCTCGTGTTCTTCCTCTTCGGTGTGTGCTATGTGATGGATGCAGTTGTGTGCGAGGAACCCTGGGTGAAAAAGAGCAAAGTGTGTGAATGTCAACCGGGACTAGATGGACCCAACTGCACAGAAGGTAAGGGCTAAAGAAAGCTACTGTAATATGCCTGCGTGTCAAATAATGTATGACCCATGGGTTCATGCATGCTGGAATGTTGTATTCGGAGTCGAGAAGAAGAAAAAAACTTCCGTGTCCTCATGCCAGTTCCTCCAACCAATTCTACCTCTTTATTCTATTCATGTGGAATAAATAATGCATATTTATGGGGAGTTGGTCACTCTCATGAGTTGAGCTATTTTGTTGTCAAGAGTTCATTTTACGTCTCCATGTTATCATGTTCAAGGACATGTCAAGAACCCGCTTTTCTGTTCCTCTCTTTCTGCTTTTTTGGAAAATGCGTGAATATTCCCAATCACTGCTGCAGCATGTAATTGCTTGAATGACGGTCAGTGCACTGACGATGGCAGTTGCAATTGCCGGAACGGTTTCCATGGAGACAAGTGTCAGTATAGTGAGTATTATGCTGTATGAAGTGAATTCCAGTTTGCTGGCATATTTCTGTGAAATGTGGGAATACCTGTACACATTAAAGAGACGTTGTTTTTTTTATCTACAGGTTTGGGTAGAAACTATTTCTTTCGGTAGAGGCGTTCGTTTCTTCTACTCAAAAGGGTGGGTTCTACTTTCCTCTGCCGGCTCTACAAGGAAAAAGTTGGTTGAAGCCGGTAGAAGTTGGTAGAGCTACGTTTGCTGTGCATATTTCTGTGAAATGTGGGAATACCTGTACACATATTAAACGGGGCGTTCTTTTCTTGATCTACAAGTTTGGGTAGAAACTATTTCTTTCGGTAGAGGCGTTCGTTTCTTCTACTCAAAACTTCAAGTCAAAAGTGTGGATTCTACTTTCCTCTACCGGCTCTACCAGGAAAAGGTTGGTGGAAACCGGTAGAAGTTGGTAGAGCTACGGGATTTCCGGCAAGATCAAGGATTTGTACACAACTCCATACAGAATAGAAACATTTCACGTACATATCGTGTAAACTAATAAATCCGGTAGAATAGCGTTTGTCCACTTACCTCTACCTTCTTCCTCTATCGGTAGAGTGACTCTACTTTACCAGGTAGCTAAAATCTAACGCAGTTTTTAGCTGAGAGCTATTAGAATGGATATGCTAGGGTCTGATCCTTCCAACAAGGCCAAGATGATGAAAGTCTATCAAGGTGAAATGACAGGACAAAATGTAATGTTTCGTCCTGAACTGTGGGTCAAACGATACCCCGGAGAGAAAGTGCACTGGAAAGTCAGTTTGCTGGAGGAAATGGAGCTAAATGGGCGAGTGGTATTTGCATAGGTATATAATTTTCAATTGAACTATGGTACCGCTGCTTAGGAAGTGTACATTTTGTTTATGTGTGCTTTCTACTTCACCTGACTGTGCCTTGCATGTGTACTGTGTTATGTTCAGCTTTCAAGACAAAGTGCCTGGGTACAGATAAGGCAATGTACACCTGGATGGCTCTTGCCGGCTTGCCGTGTTATCCACACCTCGACGGTGACAGCTGCCAGAAGAAAACGAACTTGACGCATGCCCGCCAGATGTGCACAAGAAGAGGATACAACGTGGTAGACCATGATTCCTTCACCAATCAGACGCTTGGCGTGCGCGACTGCATGGGAGCATTGCTCAACAAGATGGTGACAAGCGGTTACAGCAACCCTACTTCAATATGGACATCATTCATGAAGGATGACGAACATCTCATATACCAGCAGGGCAAGAACAGTTCGACTAAAGAATTGTATGATAGTGATGGAACAAGCCATCATGATGTCATCTGCGAAGGTAGGCTGTTGGATTGTGATCAAATGAACCCGTGAGAGAGATGCTCAGTAGCCAGCAACCATAGGGTAGAAAGTAATACTATGCATGGTTAGCATTTTACCATTCACGCGATTTGCGACGGTCGGCCTGTACCCGTTTGTTGTGTGTGTAGACATGGTTAGCATTTAACCGTTCACTCTAAATCCAACCGTACTCGTACCCAACACCCAAAATACCATTGGTTTGGTACCGTTTCGACGATAGAAAGCTCTGTTTAGCGGAAGAACGAAACGGTAGGATTCCAACAAGGGTACGTCACAAGTCGATCGTTGTGTCAGAAACCGAAATGCTAACCAGTGTCTTGAAATCACACACAAAATGGTACAGGCCGACGTACGGTCGAAGTGAATGTGAACGGTAAAATGCTAACCATGTCTATTGACAGGGCTAGAGGACTGACACAGAGAGGCGATGCCAAGAGTGATTACAACCTACATTTAGGTTTCCCACTCCAATGGGAAAACCTACCCATCTAGCTGGAGTCGGACCCAGACACGAGTTACCAATTCACCCCATCTGCTAAGAAACAGTTCATGTCTTGCTTGTGTCATAACCCGGCATAACGGTGACAACTGGGACGTTCATGAATTATTCTTTGCATATTTTATTCCATTTGTTCGTTAGAAAAATAACATGTCGTCGTATGCATCTACGCCGGAACATACCATCAGCCAGTCCGGACATGTAAACTAGAAAAATAACATGTCGTCGTATGCATCTACGCCGGAACATACCATCAGCCAGTCCGGACATGTAAACTATGTATTGAAAGTTTTCGTTCCCTTCTTCTCAAAACACTACAGGATAAGAAGGGAATAAACAAGGGCATGTTTGATTGGTGAATCCGGATTCAGATTAGAGTCACTGGAGCAGTCAGAACACCAGTTACCAATCAAACAGAACAACGAATATTTTTACCTGAAATATTGTAGAACTCATGATAGCTCACCATGCCGCGAACTTCAAAATTTCCACAGAGTTCAAAGATGTTTACATTGCTCAACATGCGAAGGCAAAAAAACTTGAAAGGCAACTACAACCGGAGAAGAAGCTTCGAAGACAGCCAAAAAATCAATCATGGACGTGGGGACCGCCGTGTAATGTGCAGAATCACACTTAGACCTCCATGTACATCACCACGCCCTTTCGTAATCACTGACATGCCAAAATCTATTCAAATGAAAACAAAAAACGAAACTCATTGCGTAGTCCTGTCAGGTTCTCATTGGGCTTTGCAACAAGCTCTGGCTGCTCCAGCCTCTGGGGTCGGAGTGGTCAGAACATGTTCTGAACACTCCAAACCTAGAGCAGACCAGTGCAGACCAATCAAACGCCCCTGTTCAAAACGCCCCTGTTCTGGATCCGACCAATCAAACGCGCCCCAAGAGACTACAACTATAAAGACACAAAGTTAATTTGTTCATCACATTATTATGTCGGCATCGTACGTTTTATTCATAGCTTGGTTAAAACTTCTTTCTCCGGGACTGCTTTAAGTGCAGTTGCGCTCGGTGAAAATAGACCCAAAGTGCAAAGCTGGCTGCCCTGGATCAGTTCCGATTACATCATTGTATTGTACATGCGTACGCGGCCGCATTTGTCCCACTTCCACGTGTCAATGGCCGCGCAAGTTGAAGGCACTAAATCTGCACGCTTGGCCGGGTCTCACCGAGAGCAACTGTACTGGGTAGAACCACTGAGTGATTTGCAACAGTGGCGTACTGCTGGTCACTGGGGTCTGCCCAGCCACATGCAGCTTTAGGTATAGCCAGCATGCTGCTCATCGAGATGTTTGAGTAGCGGCAACCTTATTATTCGTATGCATAGAACATTTTTTTCACTTTAACCTCTCGCCCCGGTTTTCGAATCGTTCTCCTTGTGTGTGTGTGTGTGTGTGTGCGTGTGTGCGTGTGTGTGTGTGTGTGTGTGTGTGTGTGTGTGTGTGTGTGAGTGTGTGTGTGTGTGTGTGTGTGTGTGTGTGTGTGTGTGTGTGTGTGTGTGTGTGCGTGTGTGTGTGTGTGTGTGTGTGTGTGTGTGTGTGTGTGCCCGGCAAATACTCAGGGTAGGGCTGAAACGATCACTGCAAAGCGGTTATCAATTACCTTCTTTTTTTAGTTCATTGCTCTGACACTGCTATCAGACAAGGTTTCATTGAGTACGACTATAGAGTCCAGGGCACCCGTTATTCGAGTATATTTCATTACTAATGTACCTATTATCTGCCCATTACTGTATGTGCCCTTGTCCTGCAGCCAAGTGGCTCCATTACAACGACTCGGTATATGCCGCAGCCACGCCATCACTGAAACCCAACGTGACTGAGCAGTTTGCAGAGGAGGCATGTCAGGAGTACGGACTTCACCTCATAACCTATGACTGGCTGCAAGCACATGGCCATGTATTAAGAGAGCGCTGGCTAGATAGATTGGCTCTTCGGCACGCACCTTACCACGTCAAACCAATCCGAGTGAATGGCAACTCCCATTACATAACTGTAACGTTTAGAAATCGCAGTAATCCATTTCAAAATTCCACAATCAATCGCCACGCCAAAACCCTCTGTGTCAGTAAGTGATAATTATATTTTTAGAGTGGTTTTATCAATGGCTTCCCCTGTGGAAGCAATATTTTATTCATCTGTGTCTGCAACCAACATAACGAAATAGCATATCATGTTGGTTGCGGACACAGAGGAATAAAACATTGCTTCATGTGCGCCTTTAATTTGCCTTATAAATGAAAGACCTCATCCCAACAAATGTTTCAAGAAGATTCCCAACCAAAATCACTTTTGCAGAGCAATTTCTTGGGTACTACCGGCCGGTGAGAAGGCATGCAATCTGTCGTTATGAAAATGCCTTGAGTGTGAACAGGTTTCGTCCAAACATATCTGTGCCATCATGACTTATACCAACATGCATTGTGGCAATGCAGATTGGGACAACAGTACTTGTGCCAGTATATCATATGCCAACATCTGCTATGCCAATGTCTGCTGTGCCGAAATATAACTATAATATAACACTCACAGCACCACCTACCTCCTCGACCCAGTCACTCAGTGTGGGATTTCTGAATGTGTGTAGTGTTCGGCGGAAGGTAGCAGAAGTTCAAACGTTCATCTCAACACGAGGCATTCACGTTCTCGTGATAGCCGAGACATGGTTGACCCCGGATGTGTCCGATCAGGAGTTGTCCATCCCGCACTTCGAGCTATACAGAAGAGAAAGACCTGATCAGCGAGGTGGCGGAGTTGCTGTGTATTGTCATGAGTCACTTGCTTTTCGACAACGGGCCGATTTACAGTGCGAGCTAAAGATGCTGTGGCTGGAGATTCTAGCCCCTGGTCGACATGGAACGCTCCTCGGCTGCTGTTATCGGCCGCCAAATAGTTCTGCTGCCTACTGGACCACACTGGATCAGAACGTTGAGCAAGCTGTTCAGGGATGTCAGCAGTCCACTGTGGTACTTGGCGACTTCAATGTTGATTTTAGCAATCCAACTTCTCCATCTGCATCCCCTTTGTACAACATACTTTCCCACTACAATCTCTGCAATTATGTTACTTCTCTAACTCGAGTCATGGCAACATCATCCACGGTGCTTGATTTGTTCCTCTCATCCTCCCCATTGGATGGTACCTGTGAAGCAATACACTTAGATATAAGTGATCACTTTGCTGTGCTGGCCCGGTTGAGCATTCACACACACCACCACGTGTCATCGTCAGTAAAAACCACCAGACGTCTCCATCGAGTAAACTGGGACAGTTTCAGTATCGACCTCCAGAGGAAACAGCAGCAAGACTTCGATGCCCACAGCAATATCCATGATATGCTTCATTCTTTCACTTCTTCTATCATGTCCACACTAGACCAGTATGCACCATTGGTACCCCAGCGTAAACGCGCACGCCGCCCATGCCCCTGGCTGACTGATGAGCTTGTGGGTGCAGTTCGTAAACGTAACCATTTACACCGGCTCCTCATGAGAGATCAAGCGAATGTACAATTGCGTGATCAGCCTAGAGAAACTCGGGCCATGGCCCGTCGACTCGACAGGAAACTGCGCAACCAGTTCTTCACTGAACAATGCCGAACGAGTGACCAGCGCAAACTGTGGAGAGTGTTGAATGTTGTAACTGGCCGTCAAAAGAAAGTCCAGGTCCCACAGGCATCCCTACAGGATCTCAGTGAAACATCTCGTAGTGTCGTACATGACCAAGCGCGTCCCACCACTCTTTAAGCTCCCTTGGGACCAACCCAACAATGTGGTTTCTCTGCTTTCCAGCCAGTCGCAGTTTCTGCCGTCGAGTCCTGTTTGAATGCTGCGAACATTCAAGTGTAGCGAACTGTGAGCGAGTGATGCAATGGAGCCTTTTGTGTTGTCTTTTCTGCGCAGAGCACTGTGCTAATGGCGTTCTGGCCCAGGACCTGAGTTGCAAGTGCAACCGCACTGTCTTCTATGGAGAATACTGTGAAAAGGGTAAGACTGCAGGTTAAAAACTGTCTAAGTCTGTGTGGATTATACATGTACTACAATGGAAATAACCCGCTGGTGAACGGGGTATACTGATGTCTATATTTAAGGACCAACAAAATCCGCGTGTGGCTTATACTCAAGTGCAGCTTAATTAAGGCCGATTCACAACACCACTTTCTGCAACGCGACTTGCGACAGTTGCGACTAGAAACTGTCTGTCCCGAGCTGTCGCGTACAGTCGCAAGGCACCTGTCGCAGAAGTTGAAGAAAGTTCAACTTTTGCGACATGTGACGTTCGACATGCACAAATGGAGTACAGTTTCTACCCTGGGTGCTCATGCAGTGCACGTGCATAGTACTACTACACGGGTGTTTGCAGTGCATGAACTCTGGCCAGTCGTCCCCGTACGCAAAATGCGTACGCATTCGGATCTACCGTACATTTCCTCGTGTTTTGGGCGAATCTGAGCGGTACGACGCTGTCAAATTGGGCCTGAATTTGCCCTGAACCAGCCGCTATCGAAGTAAAATTAGGCATTTTGAAGGCTACACGGGAACGCTGCGGCCATGTCTTCTCTCCTGAGTCTTTTGTTTGAAAATCGGAGTGTTTTTGAGCTCGTAGTTTCGTCTTCATTGTGGAATGGCCGTGCGTACATTCTCCTTGGAATTACCAATGTCACACCCCCGTTTATTACATTACTAGGAGTTTGGCCGGCAGCCACGATAGTTTTTATCCCTGGTTCCATATGTCCTTTCATTGAACAGCCAAACGAAACTTTGTGGCGTGGGGGTCTCAAGTTTGTCACTTTGAGTTGTACACAACAACCACATCAACACCTCAAAGAACCAAAAAACCAAGTGAGCAAAGTATTTCAATGTTTCGCTTTTGCCTGGCCTGCTGTGAAGATGGAGACTTCTACTCGGTAGCAGATACTCGTATCAATAAGCTGGGAGGGAGAGCGTGGCCAGTAAAATGTTAGGATAAAAAGAGCCACATTCTCTCTCGGAAAAGGTCGTCGTTCCAACACACTTGCTCTACCCAGATCTGTAGTAGGCTAGATTTTGCATGCACGTGCGAGATTCGCATCCGCCGCGCACATAGCCAGAGTCGAAATTTTTGTACTCTCGGATTTGCTGCCATCTTGACGAGTGGCCTCTGCACACTAGTGCATAAGGATTTCGCATACATGAAAAAAAGATTGTGAACTGTGTGTCGCTGTCACGGCTTGTCGCAGCTCGTCGCAGGTGTCACAAGTCGCATGTCGCGTTGCTAGAAGTTGTATTGTGAATCGGCCTTTATACTCGAATGTGGATTTTACTCTGGAAAATACTGTACATAACCATGTGCTGATATCACGACCGTATTTCCACACCCAGATTTTTTGCCACGAAATGCAGCTACCTACCCTATAGTTTGGAAGCTTGCACATCATTGTGAACCTGATGAAGGCAATTTGCCGAAACGTTGGAATAATTGTTGTGAAATGAGTTGAACTATTGCAGTGTTAATGGAAGAGAGCGTGTGGGCTCTACTCTCAACTGTTTAGGAAACTGCAGGAAGCCTCCCCACTTTTACTACCCTATCTATCGCCGTTAATTAATTTGACGCAGAATAGGCCTCACCCCTATTTTTTTTGGGTTGAACTAGTGATGTGTGGCTTTTATACTCTGGGAAATCTGGTGCTTGGACAGTCTGGCTCAACCACTGGTAACTTGTTTGTGGTTCAATTGCTCCCGTCATGCTTCTCATTGCATAGCATGCCGTGATGCTTTTCCTTGCCATTCCCTGCTCTTGTTGCGCATGCATGAACATATCGTATCTCTACAGACGACTGCAAGTGCTTGAACCAGGGTCAGTGTGACAACGAGGGTAAATGCATCTGCCCGACAAGATTCTACGGAGAACATTGCCAACTCGGTAGGTAGCAAGATATTCATTTTTGTCAATGCAAACAGTTATTTTCACTCATTGCATATAAGGCTGAGGTTGTGATCGTTTCTTCATACCCTGATCCAGATCTCCACCCACTACTACTATAATCATTCCGTTTGAATGTGGTGGATCTCCCCCCAGTGCACCTGGGGTGTTGTGTAATCTGGATGTTTAAAAAAACTGCTTTGACGTGTCGCACCCGATGATGATCATGAATCATGTACTAACCATGCTGTGCTGTTCTGCTGCTATTTGTTGTGCACTGAAACAATATGTACGTCATGCACTGCACACAATAATTGCTGCAGAGTGCAGAACATGTCTGAACCAGGGTCGCTGTAATGAAGACGGCACATGCACCTGCGCTGAAGGATGGATTGGTGACCGGTGCCAGACTCGTAAGTGTCTACTTAATGAAGCAAATACGCTGCATTCCTTCGGCGTGCGCACTGCATGTTGCAGTTACATTTCTTTCGCTTTGTAAATCTATGTCCAGTGAAAGTAATGCCATGTGTTCGGATTACAGTCCGCATTTTAAACACTCCTAATTTACACCCCCCAAAAAATAAAAGGTCTGTGCTGCTCACACTCCAGTGGTTAAATACACCACGATGTAAAGGGTGGATGGGTATAATCTGGGCACGGATAATACTCAGGTACGGCGATTCCTCTGGAAAGTATGGTACATTGTAGTAGTTGATTTGCCTGTCGTCGGTTGGACTAGTTGAGCCAACTTGCATGCATGAATGGCGGTCATCGGCCCCAGCAACTTCTGGTCTCCTGGCTTGTTGCAAAATGCCCATTTTGTGTCACCCGGGAAACATAAGCGGGACTTGATGACAGCGGATTTTGAGAAGTGGAGTGTCCCTGCCTCATTAATATCATCAAGAGTCCATAATCCCGCAGAGTGCGCAACTAGGATGGGGTTGTGGGACGGCGTAATCCGTGATTTACGTCATGTTTGGGTCGGACTTGCGTCATTACGTCGACGCGGTCAACCACGGTTCACACTTTCCCTACTCATGATGTCACACTATGACGTTCAACACGGATTTCGTCCCAGATCTGATCAGTGAAGTTGCGCACTCTGGAGGATTATGGATTCTTGATATAATGGTTTGACCTTGCTTGCAGCCGCCGTGAATGGTTTGTCGATGATGTAAGCCGAGTAGATTTATGTCAGGGAAATGCAAATTTTCTACTCCACTGGCCGAGTGGAGTGAAGAAATTAAGCTTTCCCCAGTGGTCACTAGAACAGGTTGGAACTACAGGCACACTACATCGCCTGATGTGAGTTTTCGCCATCACCAGACCCCATAGAATGGGTAGCCAGGCCGTTGTAGATGTTGGATGGGATGTCTTCTGGTCCAATGGATTGATATAATCAGCTCCTACTCAAGCCCGTCCAGCATCTCGACATAAAGAACAGTATTGGCCGTGGATTTACAAGCCAAAAGTCTGCTCGATCTGTCATTCCGTGCCCCTCAAAGACTGTGAAAGTCCCTAAATAGTACCTCACATCTTTTTTTTCTTGATGTCTGCTGCGGGCATAATTTGCATGCTGCACACGTTTTTCTTTGGGAGGTTCGTAGACTGATTTCTTACTGTTATGCCAATGTCTGGCATACTGACCTATGTTGTTGTTGTGTGTTGGTTTAATGTAGGGTGTGCGGACACGGACCCATGCTGCGTGAACAAGCGCATCGTGACACGCCGGGATCAGGTCTGCCGCGCCGCCACCAGCGACTGTGACATGGCGGAGTACTGCGACGGCGAGAATGCCACATGTCCACAGGACCTGACCGCACGCAACGGCTGGCCTTGCTCCAATAGTCAAGCATCCTGCTGGAGTGGAGTTTGCCAATCACGAACTGGCCAGTGTCAGAGTGTCTGGAACGATATGGATCAAGGGTCAGCTCCTGAGGATTGCTTTGCAATCATGAACGTATTTGGAGAACGTACGGGTAACTGTGGTTTCAAATCGTCCAATTCCACCCCAGGAACCTATGCAGCCTGTGCGGCTGGAGATGCCCTATGTGGTAGTTTGTTCTGCCTTCCAGTTGCTCGAAAGAACCAACCCAGTAGTGGCGTTCTGTCCCAAACTATTCCCGTACGCGGCGTTGGCGGTGTACTCAGGTGCAATGGTTTGTACGCGTCCCCGCCAAGAAACCACGATGACCCATCGCTCGTGAAGGACGGAACACGCTGTGATGCCAGCGGCGCTAACAAGGACCTCGTGTGCCACAAGCAACGCTGCGTGGACCAGTCTCGAGTCACCAGTCAGTGTTCGGTCGATGCTGACAGCGGCAAAGAGTGTGGTGGAGTCGGTGTCTGTACAAATGCAACAACCTGCCTTTACCAACCCACACCTGGCAAGTTTTTTTTTCACTGAATACCACAGAACCATCAGATGCTGCACAGCGGGGGCGGTGACATATTGGATGGAAATGGGGGCGGGGCAAAAGTAACTCCTCCAACCAAAGGTCTCCGAATCATCTTTACTAAGTTACCCTCATAGTGTGTGTTTTCAATTCATTTTTAATTTCTGTACGTCCACGGTGCGTTTGGTTGGTACGATCTAGAACAGGATCGAACAGCTGGTGCACATGGCGCAGCCCCATGCCAACTACACGGTACTCCAGAAACAGAGCTCATTTTTGTGAAAAAATATGCCAAACTTAGTACATACTTCAAAATGACTGTGTATGTGTCACCATGGTGGCTGTGTACAGTACGAAGAGTCCAACCCCAAAGTGTGTGCACGTGATCATTTGGGACCAAAATCGATGTTCCCGCCAGGTTTCACAGTGAAAAAGTGAAACTGCTCGGTTTGCTCCGGCCTCGAGGCCGGAGCAAGCAGAACATGTTCTGGCCGACCCAGAACAGGTGCAGTGCCAACCAAACGCGCTGTTCTGGTGAATCCTGTTCTAGCTCGTACCAACCAAATGCGCCCCCAGTTGGCATATGGATGCGATGTGCTACAGATCTTGGCTCTCAAACTATTGCTGCTACATGCAATGTACAAGCAACAAAAATAGCCGTCACGCCTTTTTGAGAGCTGCCTTACTGCGTGTGAGCAAAACTCTGTATCCTCCAACCAAAATTTTCATCGGCTCACGTGCTCAACGTAGAATGGTCATTCAAAGTCCTCAGATTCCTGAGGCTCAAGCTATTCTGACCTCTACTTTGCACGAGCCATGCAACTATGACCTACAGGGAACGTCCCCTTTCTTGGGCATGCTGTTCACAGACGTGCTCGCCTCACACGCAATTTGTAAAAAAAATGGTCGTATCTGTGGTTCGCTCTTTCGCGCTATTACTGTCCTCGCAATTGAAACAGGCCCGGCAAAAAACGGTATGGTTGCCAGGTATACTAACCACTGAGCTTTGGATATGGTTACGTGTGGATACACGGAATTCGCAAAACAACTTCGTAGCACGTCCTGTGGTACTGCGCTGTAGGACTGTTTGTCAGGATGGTTCATGTGCAGTGCGAGCGCAGAAGGACCGGAAGTTGTGTGCGGATTGGATCACGTTTTTCAGTTTGAATTTTCCCCACATCGCGGATGTTCGAGCTGGGAAGGCAGAAGAACAGAGGTTCGAATATTGAGGGGTTTTCAGCCCTAACGCAAACCCAGATTTTGCAATTTCACAAGAGTTTTAAAAGCCTCAGTACAGCTCCTGAAAAGAGTTTTTTGAGTAATAATGATACGGTGGCGAAGACATACCTTTAATAACCAGAGAAATGGTGGTAGCTACTAGTTACTAGCAAGAGTAGATAAACAAGAGTGCGCAACTCCGGATTTCTCCTGCACAATCTGCAAATACCCCCGCCCACTGCAGAATGTTTGTGGGCGTCACCTTTTTTCAGAGAAACGCGCATTTTGCCGCAGAGCAGGGCAGAGTAGGCAAAGCCCGATTTTGCCAGTGAAGCTTCGATATTTTGCCGCAACATTTTGCTTTCTCATCGTTAATATTTTGCTTTCATTTTGCCAGGCCACTCGATATTTTTGCTCCCTTTTTGCCCCCAAAAAAAATTGTGTCACATGTGGGAAAAGTGACCGAAAGTGGGTCAAGTGTTGGCAAAAATGAGAAAAAGTGAGTCACGTTTTGCTAAAACTGTGCGAAATTGAGTCACGTGCACCGTGTAAGTGTAAAATCTTCAAATTTCCAGCGAACACACCGATATTTTGCTCCGTTTTGCTAGCAAATTCCCTTTCAGAATTCTTCGATATTTTGCTAGCATAATTGCTAGCAAAATCGGGCTATGCCTAGTCTGGGGCACGTGCTGGGCACTGGGCTTGTAGTGTAAGTCCGGCCAAGAGCACGAGGGAAAACTTTCCGAAAGACTCGCAGCGCGAGCGTCGTCGACAAGATTACGTCAACAAAAAAATCTGCCGTGGGCCTACCCATCCGCGAGTTGCACACACTTGTTTATCTAGTCTTGATGGCAAGCGGACCGAGCTCGGGACAACCTTCCGGGTTTTGAGCTGACTGCATAGGCAGGAGCACCGGTGACCTCAGAGTTGAGGAAATTCCTAATTTTCAGTGCCATCTGTATCGTAACTTGTTAGGGCCCGGTCACACATGCACTCGGAAGTAGTGGATCCGCTGAAGCGACGTCGCAGGAGCGAACAATACCATGGCAACGGCGAAAAGCAGAACTTCCGCCTCAGTGGAAACTCCAATCCGCTTCCTCCAAAATTTTCGAACCAAGACTGTCGCTTCTGCGGTTTCGCTTCAGCGGAAAGCACCACGGTCTGCTGTATAAGGACTTACTACAAGAAATTTGTATGCGCATGATGCCCATGCAACAAAATGCGTGCAAGATGGTCATTGACCTCGTTTATTCTCCGTACCGTATGCACCACAGCCCACTTTACTCTCATTTTCCGCCGAAGTAGGAGTTTGCCCTGTTTGTATGCGTGACCATACACACGTGGTTTCGCTGGAGCGACACCAGGCTCGCTGTTGCAGAACTTCCACGCTGAAGCGAACCCCAGTGCACGTGGGACCGGGCCCTAAGTGTTCCCCTTTCAAATATCACCCTGAGCACTATGAGTTCAGGAGAGCAATATGGAACAAAAAAGTGAAGGTCTCAAGTCAAAATGTTGGTGGGTTTCCATAGTAATTTTTGAAATCAGATTTTGCGAAGAGGGGATGGTATGCTGTTGTCTGCTTTGCTGAGATGCTTGTGTGTGTCCTCTCTGTTTCTCCGCAACAGAGATCAACGAGTCGAGTACAGGATCCGCTAACACTACCCAGGCTGCTACACCCACGACCAGTGGAATAACCAAACCAACGAGCGACCCAGCCACAACCACTCCAACCGAAGTCGGTGATGAACAGTGGAGTGGTTTATAATTGTAACTAGATACTCATAAACCGGAGGGAATACTACCGACAGGACTAACCTGGTGCCCTTCCACTTACCCACCCATCTTCCATGGCATCCACAATTCGGTGCAGGAAACTCGACAGAGCGTTTCCAGGACGTGAGGAGCCTGGCTATCCAAGTGTGTTTCCAGTCCTGATAATTTCCTCCCATTGTAAATTTCAAATCTGCAATTTCAGATCAGTGAAAATCTGAGGCAGACTGATATCCCATAACCCGCTACGGCTGAGTAATTATGTCGTATTTTAATTAGTAATTATGCATCTATTATTTGCAAGATGATGAGGGCAATAATAGATTGATCCCGACATAGCATACCTTAACTGTTTTTGCTTTGTTGTTGTGTATTGTACTAGCACATAGTATATACATAAGTCGTCTACATTACTTCTCTATAAACAGATGTTCTCAGTTGTTACTTAGTCATTTAATGTGTTCCCCAAGTTCTTTGACTGAGAATCTGGCAGTTTGGGCTCAAGTCATTTGGCTCCAGTTTTTTTTCTTTTTTCATTTCTAACTCTTGTTTCTAAGTTGAGGAAAAGTTCTCAATCTTCGGACTTAAAATCTCTGGTCACAACTGGTGCGTGTACGCGTGAAACCACGCGTTTGTGCGTATTTTTGCTGGCTTTTGGTGCGCCATGCATACGGAAACGCGCCCAAATAGAAATTCCAGCATGTTGGAATTTGCAGCGCGTATCAGGCGCGTACCAGCCTACATGCCATTCACTTTGATTGGCGGGGTCAACAAATTAGTACTCGAAGGTGTCGCACGCGCTAAATACGACACAGATTGCTGTTTGTAACAAAGCTCAGCAAAAGTACATAGCCCCCCAGAGTGTGCAACGCCTGTTCCAGCCCTGCATAGTCCCTGATACCAAGAGTCCATAACCCCTCAGAGTGTGCAACTCGTGATCCTTCTCAGCACAAATCAGTGCCGCAACGAAATCCAAACTTCATACGTCATGTAGTGAGTAGCGGATGTACCAGATATGCACATGGCCCCATCCGCCCATGCTTGACTATGGACCGGATGACGCAATGTTTGGATTTCGTTGCGCCAGACCCCAACCTGGAGTTGCACTCTCTGGGGGGTTATGGACTCTTGCTGATACTGATAGGGTCTTGGTTGAGCCAGGTTTTACAAAATTAGGACAGGTATACCATGGCGAAATGTGTGGAGAAGCAGATCCCAAACCCAGGTTTTGGAGATTTAAAGTGGGTTTTTGATCCTCAATTCGGCCCAAATTGGACTTTCAAAAGCCAGCGGGACTGTTTCCGATGAATGGACTGTAGTAAAATCCCTTAATTTGTCAGGCTGCGAAAAATTCGCCGAAAATGAGACTGATCGAAAATCGCTACGCTTTTCGCTGATTTTGGAGGGTTCCTTTGACAATCGTCGAAAATCGACCAAATCTTCTAATAATTATTTCACAAATTTTGAGGCCAACATGCCAACAGTTCTTTTAGCCGATTTTCCAATATATTCCAGTTTTGCAGCCGATTGTCAAACAATCAACTGATTTTGCAGTCGAATCTGATGTATTTTGGACCCGAGCGAAAAGCCGAACAAGCGGAAAAAACGGGCCGGTTTGGGGAAAGCCTACACAGGGGGACCTTTCCGAACCTGAGCTTTCCAAGTTGGAAGGTTGTTGGTTTGCGCCTTGGAGAAGTGTTGGACCTAGATGTCAGGTCGCTGAATGTCTCAGTACTCCCGGCCTTGTCAGTTTTGTGTCATTTTGTCGCACTCGCTGACTGTATAAAGATCTGGTTACGTTGGTGGACAGTTATCATAATAACAAACAAACAAAAAACTAACTAACTAATACTGCGACAAGAATACCATGTACAGGTCTACTCTCCATATAACGTAATCTCTGGGACCACGCAAACATTATGTTATATCGAGAGGTATGTTATGTAGAAAACCGTGTGTAAAATACAAGACGCATCTCAAAATGAAGGGTATTACAAGGCGGGTTCAACCGTGCAAACATATA